CTCTTATCGATTTCAGACCTTCGTTCGTTGGTTGCACGCCCCTTTCTGAAATTTTGTACCCCAAATAATCAACTTCTGTTTGAAAAAATTTACATTTTGCTAATTGCAACTCGAGGCCATTTTTAACTAAAAGTTTAAAAATTTTTCGTAAAATAATCAAATGGTGTTCAAGAGTCTTTGTTGCAATCATAATGTCATCCAAATATACACTTACATCGCCAGCATCAATTAGCTCTTTGAGGACCATGTTGACGAATCTTTGAAAATATTTCGGACCCACCTTCAATCCAAACGGCATTTTCAAAAATTCGTACTGCCCAAACGGCGTAACGAAAGAAGTATACTTAACTGAATCTTCAGCCATTTTGATATGGAAAAATCCATCTTTCAAATCTAATAGGGTGAAATACTTTTTTCCTTTCAATACGTCAATTTGGTCCTCAATTAATGGCAAAGGATAATTATCTGCTTCTAAATATTTATTTAAAATCCTATAATCAATGCACATTCGAATTTTACCGTTTTTTTTTATAACAAGAACAATGGCTGACGAATATTCGGCGTTACTTGGTCTAAGAATTTTTCGCTTCAATAAATCATCGATTATTTTTTTTAATTCAATTTTTTCCGTATAAGATAATCTTCGTGGCGAACAGTGAAAAATTTTATGACTTTTTAATTTCAAATGAAGGGTTGTTTCTATTTCTGGCATTTCAGGTCTTTCGGATTGTAAATAAATTTCAAAAAAATCATTTTTTAACTGTTGTTTAAATTTATGTGGAATATCCGGGTTAATATTTAAACTATCTTCTATTTTTAATTCATCGATTTCAATATTCATTATTTCCATTAAGTGGTTATCTTTTTCCTCTTCAAAACACTGCGAACTCGAAATACTTAATCCAAAAGCCCTGAATGCGTCACGCCCTAGGATTACTGGTGACGACATTGTTTCGTCATTTACTACCAACAATTCAATTTGCTTAACAACATTTTTCATTTCACATTCGGCTTTTGTTTTCCCTAAAATATGTAATTTCGAATTATTAACGCCATGATACTCAAGCTTCGATTCACCCAACGGTACTACAATATCCGGGTTTACAAATTTATTTTTTATAAATGAAATTGGACTTCCACTATCCAACAAAGCGACAAGATGAGCCTCAAAACTGCCCTCTTCATTTTCGAATTTCAATAAAATATCTGGATAAAATTCCGAATTATCTAATTTTCTAACGTCAACATTTGTGATCTCTATATTACTCGTTTTTCTACTACTACTTTCCGGACACTTTGCAATCGTATGTTCCATCGAGCCACAACGATAACACGAACCTTTCTGTCTCGGCTTTTTTTTACACTCATGAGACATATGACCTAACATGTTACAATTATAACACCGTTTTTTACTTTTATCAAAAGACTTATTATTACTTGAATCATTTTTATTTTCTTTATTATTTTGATCAAATTTACTTGCTTTGTAATTATTCGAATCTTTTTGATAATCTTTACTTTTATTTATTTCAGTTGATTTTTTATTTAAATAAATTTTTTCAAACGCTTGAAGTAAATTTTCTTTAGAATTGAAACGTTGCATGCGAGCTTGATCTCGTAATGACTCGTCGGGAATTCCTTCTATCAAATAATCAATTAAATCTATCTCGTCAATATTTGCTCTATTTGCTAAAATAATTTTGTCATACATATATTCACTAAATGATTCTGATTTACACCAAATACGATTTTCGAATTGCTTTCTCAATTCAATTCGACTAAGGTAGGGGAAAAACATTTTTCTCATTTCCTCAATGAGCATTGTTACTGGCATCAACAAATGATTCGAACGTGAATGAAACCAATTAAGAGCTTTATCTTTAAGTTTACTACTAATCAAAATTCTTACAGTGTCATCGCTCAAATTATATGTCGTTCGTACCAATTGTAATTGTTGCGACCATGTTTCAAAGTTTTGGCTATTTCCATCAAAAGTCCCCAATAACTCACCGATAGAATGAATTGATAACCTTGAGTTTACCTCAGTATTAGGAAGTGTTGGTGTATGATAAACAGGTACTTGTGCTGATTGTGTTGCTCCGCCCTGGGCTGGGACAGCATAAGGAGACGACACTGGAAACAAAATCGGCATCCCGCTTTCCTTCGCAGAGGTAGTCGGAGTTTCCAAATTTAACAACATTGTATTGACGTTTGACTCCACCCTCGAGTCGGTTCCGAGAACAGAATCTGACGAACCTTGGGTTTTCTCTTGCTGCAATTGTGATGTTAACGCCATCATCATCTGCTGCATCACGTCCATCTGACGTTTCATGTCATCGTAAGCTTTTTGCAACCGATGTTTCCCTTGATCATCATCCTCCTCCTCATCATCATCATCATCATCACGTCTTCCTTCCTTCCGCCATTCCTCGATCCAAGACCCATCTGGACTAGCCCGTTGCAGACGTAATATCAACTCGCTCTTATTTCCAGTAGCGGCAATTTTCTTGAATCGTAAAATGCTTTTCAATTCAGCAACAGTTAAATCGGCTGCCATAATGAATTTATAACTCTGGCGATAATTATTATCTTTCGACACAACGTAAACTCGAAAGAATAGTTGAAGGACATTCACTGTTTACTAATATGAACACAATAAAAGCGTACTGTACTTATTCAAAATATCTCGGTGTGCGTAAAACTGCGAACGGAACTAAACGTTTTTCTCTTTTAAAATAATGCTCATATATTAATTCGTAAAAATTTAACACAACATCACAGTACATAAATAATGATCACCAATCAAGGCACAAAGCACGATGACCACATAGCACGGTGTTAACATAAATCACTGAATAAAGAGTTCAATTTGAAAATGGCAGTTTAATTTCTCGCCATGTGCACAAAGCTTCCACATGTAAAAAAACTTAAATTCCAACTCTTCTTTTCTTCATACAGTTACAAAAATTTGTCAAATTGCAGATCACTCTTATCTACACTGAATTACTCAAACACAATTAGTCAAATTCTTCTCTAATCGGACTTATAAGCTTAGCGTCCTTTTGAGAGACGGTTAAAACCACTAAAGTTCTAATGTGTTTCAAGTTGCATAAGTTGTGAAAAATTATCGAATATATTAACAAAACGAGAGCAAAGAGTTCCTAATCCCACTTCTGAACTGTGAGAGGATGGCACATTAAAAAACAAATAATTAAAATGAATATATATAATTTAATGTCAGGTAATTTCTAAGTACAACCGTTCGCACGCACACCGAAGTACAGACTACTCTTATCTCTCCTTTTACAATTTTGGTCACAATCACACACATATCAATCAGACAAACACACAAACAATCATTCTGCACACAAACAAACAGACAACACACACTACTCATGACCGCATCCTTACAAGTTAAAAATTGTTATACAATAAAAAGTTATTATTTTGTTATAAACTGTACTTAGGCCTAGAAATTACTAGTTTCTTCTCAATTGTACAATTTTTCGTGAGTAATACATCTACTAATGATAAAAAAACAATTATTTATTAAAACATTGTTTAAACAATTAATTGTTACTATTTTTTACATAAAATATTTATACTTAGGGTAAGAAATTTATATTTGTTTCTTATGTAATTTTTTTAATTTTTTCATAAGTTTCATTTGGGTTAGAAATTTCTAATTTTTTCTAAACAATTAATTGAAAAGTTGAAAACTATAAACTGTTTAAACAAGGGTTAAATAATTAATTTTTAGTTTTTCTTTTATACTTGAATACTTTACTTATGAAAAATTGCACAATTCAGAAAAAATATAAATTTTTAACCCTAAGTACAGTTTATAACAAAATAATAACTTTTTATTGTATAACAATTTTTAACTAAATAATTTTTTATTTTTTATCAATCAAACATTAATTTAATAGGTTTTTTAAATAGTTTTTTTAATCAATAAAACTAAGGAAAATATATTTTACGATTTTTTGATTATTTTAATACTTATTGTTATTTAAAAAATGTTTAAAAACAAAAATTCAAAAATAAGGCTCGAGAGATCGATAGAGAATTTAATTACGAAGATTTCTCGTAAAGTTATTGTTGTCCCATAATTAAATTTACAGGAAGTATTCTTTACTTTATTGACAATATTTACCAAAAAAAAAATTCAAATCGAAGATATATTTTTTTCAAAATTTTAATTCAAAAAATTTTTTGAAATTTTTTTCGGGCAAAAAAAATTTTTTTTTAAAATTTTTATTTTTTTCTTTAAAGTACTTCTTATTATGAGTATTTTCCAAAAAAAATTATCTTAATCGGTTAACAAGAAAAAAAGTTATGTGCCTTTTTTGAAAAACCGACCAAAATTTTGAGTAAGAGGTAACTCAAAAAATTTTGAAAATTTTGAAAAAACTTTTATACACTTTTATTCCATGTATAAAAAGGAACAAATTCTGAAAGTATTTTTAATATTGCTAAAATCATCGAAAATTCTTATGATCACTTGGCGTGGAATTGCTCTAATCTAAAATAATAGGCAATTAAAAATTTTGAAAATTCCGTAGTTTTTATAGTTCTTGTAGTTTTTGACGAAAATGGCTGGCTAACGAACTCGATCTATATTTTAACACTAACTTTATGCATGTAAACTTTATGCATGTTACAAGTTAATACAATAAGTTTTTCAAAAGTTATAGTGACGTCATCATTGTGTCTACAGGCAGACACTTTTTTAAACCATGTTTTTTGTTCAGGGCACCTCAAAACGTGAAGATTTCATAAAATTAGCAAAAGTGAATTTTCGACAAAAACTAATACCTTCTCATGTGATAAGGATGTAAAAAAATTAAATGAACCAACACAATATTTGTCTTTAAATATTTTATTATAACAAAATATTTAAAAATTGTATTCAGATAAAATTAAAGAAAAAGTAAAACGAAGTTTGTTTATAAAAATTACGTTGGTGTTTATACATTTTCCTTATACCATTTTAACAGATATCGTTGACAAAACTGCCAACTTCGTCGCCAGAAATGGCCCTGAGTTTGAATCCAGGATTAGACAGAATGAATTGGGAAATCCCAAGTTTAATTTCTTAAACTTTGGTGACCCCTATCACGCGTACTATCAGCATAAAGTCAAGGAATTTAAAGAAGGAAAGGGCCAAGAGCCAGTAACTGGAGTTATACTTCCTAAGGGTGTCAACTTTTCTGCTCATCAAAAACAGCAAGAAATTCTTAAGCAAGTTGAGCAGCCATTCATTCCCAAAGATCCGCCACAGGAGTTCGAATTTATAGCAGACCCTCCTTCAATTTCTGCCTTAGATTTGTACGTTATAATATATTTATTTTTCAATAAAATTTAAAATAATGTTAAAACTAATAAATTATTCATTACAGAGATATTGTAAAATTAACCGCACAGTTTGTTGCTCGAAACGGACGTCAATTTTTGACCAATTTAATGAATCGCGAACAGAGGAATTTCCAATTCGACTTTCTGCGTCCACAACATTCTTTGTTTCAATATTTTACTAAACTTCTGGAACAATACACAAAGGTGAGGTTAATTTTAAATAATTGAATACAAATATTCAATACAATACAATACAGTTATTATTTAATGAATTTTGTTTCATTAGGTTTTAATCCCACCCAAAGATTTACTTCCGCGTTTGAGAGATGAAGCTTCAAATATGGAAAAAATTCTTGAAAATGTGAAATATCGATCAGAATGGCTTAAATATCAAGAGGCTCAAAAACGCAAAGAAGAAGAGGAATTGGAACGCGAGCGAGTTGCATACGCTCAAATTGATTGGCACGATTTTGTTGTTGTTGAAACTGTTGATTATCAACAATTTGAGGTCGGCAATTTTCCAGCTCCTACAACTCCCGACGAAGTAGGAGCTCGTGTTCTTATGCAGGTTTGTTATTTTATTCAGTTTTAACCAAGAATACAAATTTGAGCATATAAACTTTGTTCATTTATCTGAGTCAGAATTCCTAGAAGAAGCCACTTAAAACTTTTTAATTTTCTTTTTCATTGTAATATATATATGTAACGTAATTAGTTAATGAATTATTAATTAATGAAATTATTTTTTTTTATTGATGAGGGTGCATCGAAAGGTATTAAATATCTCCTGGACTCCAACTTATTAATTATTAAAATTTCAGGAACGTATTGAAGATGGTGAGGATGTCGAAATGCAAATTGAAAGTGATGGAGATGATGAAATGCCACATCGACCTGACGGTGAAAAGGATCGAGCAAAGGATAATAATCAGGTAATATTTATTTTCTTAATTTCAATGAAAAGAATTTTTTATAAAATATTTTTCTTTAACTTCAAGTTGAATTAACTTTAAAAATAACATCTACAAATGTGAAAAAAGCATCAAAATTCTCTTTAAATTGTTATTTCCTATTTCAGTTTTTTAAACTTTTATTTATTTTGAGAATACTAGATAGGAAGTGTCGTTTTGGGTCAGAACACATTTTAGCTTTTACCTAGATTTTAGCCACTAAAAGCTACTATTTCTTTTTTTTAGAATTTCCACTACTTTTTAAATTCGCTAATACTTTCAAAAAAAATTCGAAATTTAAATATTTTCAATAAATGTAGTATTTTCATAAAATTTCGCAAAAGAATTCAAGTATTTAAAAAAAATTGATAAAATTCAATTATTTTCATAAATAATAAAATTTCCACGGGAATTCAATTCATTTGGAATAGCATTTTCAAAAAAAGTTTCGAAAAATCAATTATTTAACAAAATTTTTATACAATTCTTTACAATAATTCAATTACTTTCACTAATAATAGCATTTTTCATGGAAATTCAATTTTAAAAAATTTTTTTGATAAAATTCTAAGCAAGAATTCAATTATTTTCATAAATAATAAAACTCATCGAAGAATTTCAATTATTTTTTTAGATTTTAATACAATTCATTCCAAGAATTCAATTATTTACATAAATCCCAAAAATTCAATTATTTTGAGGCATTTTTAATGAAATTCTTTGCAGAATTAAAGTATTTACATAAATAACAATATTCATCACAAGAATTCAATTATTTTTAAAAGTAATAAATTTCTTCTTCGAAATGCAATTATTTAAAAAAATTCTAATAAAATCGTTCGCAAGAATTCAATTATTTTCAAAAATAATAAAATGCTTTTTAGGAATTCAATTATTTTCAAAAAAATATAATAAAATGCCACACAGACATTCAATTATTCTTAAAAATTTTAATAGAATTCTTTACAAAATTTAATTATTTTTAAATTAACTTTTCGCAATTCAATGATTTTCAATATCTACTATTTTCATAAAATTTACCAAAAGAATTTAATTATTTAAAAAAAAAATTTAATAAAATTCTACAAAAACTTTTAATTATTGTCAAAAAATAATAAAAATTTCACTAGAATTTCATTAATAACAATTTTTTTTTATAAATTTCTTCGCAATCATTCAACTATTTTCATATTTAATACAATTTTTACCGGGATTCAATTATTTTCGTAAATAATAAAATTCTTTTTAGGAATTCAATTATTTTCAATAGAATTTTAATCGAATTCCTCGAAAAAATTCTTAAAAAATTTATTAAAATTCGTCCAAAGAATTTAATTATTTAAAAATTTGTTGATAAAATTTTTACCAAGCAACATTCAATTATTCAATAAATTATTTATTTTTGTATTTAAATAATTGAATTCAAGGAATTTTCTCATAAACATTGATTTAAAAGTAGATTTCAGTTAAAATATCTTAGATAAAAATAATTGAATTCTTTCGAAGAATTACATTAAAATTTTTAAAATAATTGAATTTTATTAAGACATTTTTTTAAAAAATTGTCTTAAAAATAATTGAATTTCTACCAAAAAAAAGTTCTATCAAAACTTTTTAAAATGTTTGAATTTCTGCTAAAATTCTGATATTTTTGAAAATAATTGAATTCTTGCGAAGAATTTTATTAAGACTTTTGAAAAATAATTAAATATCTGCAAAGATTTTTATTATTTTACGAAAATATTTAAATTCTTGCGAAAAATTTTATTAAAATTTCTGAAAGTAATTGAAGATCTGCTAAGAATTTTGTTATTTTTAATTTATGCCAAGAATTTTATTAAAATTTTTAAAAATAATTGAATTCCTGTTGATTTTTTACAAGAATTTAATTATTTTTCAAAATTTTAATAAAATTCTTCGAAAGAATTCAATTATTTTCATAAATAATAAAATTCAATGCAGAATTTCAATTATTTATAATACAATTTTAATCGAATTTTGTCGAAAAATGTAATTATTCTTAAAAATTTTATTAAAATTCGTTGATAGAATTTAATTATTTGAAAATTTGTCGATAACGATTTTTTATGGGAATTGAATTTTAAGAAACGTTCAATTATTCAATAAATTATTTACTTGCATTTTTACATTTAAATTTGTATTTAAATAATTGAATTCTAGTATAATATTCTAATAAAAATTGATTTTCATTTCATAAAAATGAATTTCAGTTAAAATTTTAGATAATAATTGAATATTAAAAGCAATATAGCGTGAATTTTTAAAAAATAATTGAATTTTGTAATTAATTTTTTTGAAAAAGTTTAATTGAGTTTTTTTAATATTATTTTTAGTTTCTATCTTCTCATATTTATTTAATTAAAGAATTTACGAATAAATGAAATTTCGTAAAATTGAATATTGTAAAGAAATGAATTTGAAAATTGTCAAAGAACTTTTTTGAAAATTATTAAAAATAATCGATATAAAGAAGAATTTTAGTTGAAAATTCTTAAACATAATAATTGAATTGATAATGATTTTAATTATTATAAATTATTTTTATTAATGATTATTATTAATTATTATAAAACATGAAGAAATCTATGACTTCGATTTGAAGACTCGGAGTTATCGATTTCTTCATGTTTTATAGTAATGAAAAATTGAATTTATAGTTTTTAAGTAAAATGTTCTCTTATTTGATTCGGCCTTGATTCTATTTTTGTCAGTTGGTCCGTAAATTCCGTATTTTTAAATACTTTCCCTGCTTCGAGCCCTGTAATCTTTGTAAAAATTCAATTCTTTTAATGAATAATAAAAATTTCTCAGGAATTTAATTATTTGAATTAGAATTTGCATAAATTGAGTCGGAAGAAATGAATTATTTAAAATTTTTTATAAAATTCTTCGCAAGAATTAAATCATTTTTATAAATATATATTTAAATAAATTCTTTCATGAATTATTAAATTCGTTGAAGGAATTCAATTTATTAGCAGGATAAGAAAGAAGTAAATATTTTAATGAAAATTAGGAAAAAGTCAGGAAAATAAAATATAGATTGGAATTTTTCTCAGTTTTGTGAAGTGTCGAAAATGATTTTTTTCGTTCGTCAAGTTTAATTTTTCGATAGCTACTTTTTTCTACTTTTTTAAAATTAATTATCGAGTGCGAAGTCTGATATACAAATATATTTTCTAAAAGTATTAAGGTTTTTTTTAAAAAAAAGTCGTAATTACGCCAAGTGAAATAAGACAAGAACTTGAGAAAGATCAGGACAAATTTTATAATATTTGTGAACTTTAATTAATTTAGGGATCCTTGAATGAAATATATATTTTAACTTTCTTTTTAATAAATGATGATTCATTAATCAATCTTTTACGTCCGAGAAATATTAATTATAGTGAGGGAAAATAAACGAAAACATTCGGACAAATAGTTTTTAAAAATTAGTTTACTCCAATGTTTCGAAATCTGACCGATTTCGAATTTTTTCGAATGTTTTCGTTTATTTTCCTTCACTGTAATAAATGATTGAATTTATTGTTTAAATTTATTCTAATTCCACTCAATTTTCAGTTCAAAAAATCTAAAATTCTATTAATTGAAATGTTTAAGGTGCAAGATATGGAGGAGGATTCGAGCGACGAAGAAATTATGGCTCCACCAGGAGAAACAATGAGGATGAGGGACAATAAAAATCGTGAAAGCACCATGCAACCTCCGCCTCTACCACCAGCACCTGGAAATGTTGTCATTAAAAAGGGTTACGATCCCAAGCAACACGCGGTCAAAGTCATTCGTCCGCCTGCCACTGAGGAGTACCTTATTTCCCCGCTCACTGGAGAGAAGATTCCAGCTAGCAAAGTACAGGAACACGTGCGTATTGGTTTACTGGACCCCAGATGGGTGGAACAGCGGGACAAGCATCTCGACAAACAGTCCCAAGAGACAGTGTTCGCACCGGGCACTGCGATCGAGGACAGCTTGAAGCAGCTCGCCGAGAGGCGTACCGACATTTTTGGCGTCGGCGACGAGGAAACGGCAATCGGTAAGAAGATTGGCGAGGAGGACAAAAAGAAGGACGACAAGGTCACTTGGGACGGACATACGTCGAGCGTGGAAGCCGCGACGCGAGCGGCACGAGCGAATATCACTCTCGAGGAACAGATCCATCAAATTCACAAGGTCAAGGGACTGCTTCCGGACGAGGAGAAGGAAAAAATTGGACCCAAACCAGTGACCCGAGCGTCGGAACTCTCTCACATGGCGGCTGCGGCCTCGAAACCGCAGGCGACTCTCAAGGCCCCACCGAAGCCTCCCGTTCCAAAGCCTCCGATTCAGGTACCGGCGCAGCCACCACCACCAATACCGATGCCTATGATGCCACCCCAACCACCGATGATGATGATGGCGCCCATGCCTCCGATTAGGCCTCCACCTCTTCTTAGTGAGTTTCTCCATTTTTTATTAGTCAATTGTTTCAAGGTAAATGCGCTTTGCTTAAGTTCCTTCCGGCTGTCAGTTTGGGCCTCAGTTTACGTACTGAATCGAAATTTGTGAACTGGGCCACCTAAAAGAAATTTTTAAATGTGCATTATGTCTATACCAGGGTGGCCACCGGACCTTGCAACCTTGAAAACCTTTAAATGGATGTGAATTTTGTCAAACCTTGAAAAAACCGTGAATTGGACGTGCACTTTTTTAAAAACCTTGAATTTTAGTATTATATATTATTAAAACTGAAAAACAAAATTTTTTGACCATTTTCAAAATTTTATTTTTTGAAAAAATTGAAATTTTTCAGGGTTGCCACAGGTCAGGAAAATTAGGGAATTCAGGGAAAAGTCAGGGATTTTTATTTAAGTAACTGGAAAAAATTGAATTTTGGAGAAGTTACAAATGATTGCAGAAATTCAATTATTTTCAAAAGTAATAAAATTCTTCCCAGAAATTCAATTATGTTCGAAAATTAAAAAAAATTCTCATAAAAATTCAATTATCTTTAAAAATAATAAAATTCTTCTCCAAATTTCAATTATTTTCAAAAATTTTAATAAAATTCTTTGCAAAATTTCAATTATTTTCAAAAAATTTTTCTCAATTGAATGATTTTCAATATCTACAGTTTTATAAAAGTTTTTCAAAAGAATTCAATTATTTAAAAAAAATTTTTGATAAAATTCTAAGCAAACTTCGCAATAATTCAATTATTTTCATAAATAGTAAAATTTTTTACAAAAATTCAATTATTTTCATGAATAATAAAATTCATCATAGAATTTCAATTATTTTTAATACAATTTCAATTGAATTCCTCGAAAAATTTTATTATTCTTGAAAATTTTATTAAAATTTCTCGACAAAAATCAAATTTGTTGATAAAATTCTTTATGTTAATTTAGTTTCGAAAAACATTAATTTATTCAATAAATTATTTATTTTTGTATTTAAATAATTGAATTCTTGTAGAATTTTCCAATAAAAATTGATTTTAAAATGAATATTAGTTAAAATTTTAGATAATAATTGAATATTAAAAGCATTATAGCATGAATTTTTAAAAATAATTAATAATTGAATTCTTTTGAAGAATTTTAATTAAATTATTTAAAATAATTACATTTTTCGAAGAATTTACTTAAAATTGTATTAAAAATAATTAAAATCCTGTAAAGAATTTTATTAATTTATGAAAGTAATTGAATTCTTGCAATGAATTTTTTCAAATTTTTATTTAAATTATTGAAATAATGTAAAGAATCTTATTGTTTATGAAAATAATTGAATTCCTGCATCGAATTTTATTACATTTTTTTAAATAATTGAATTCTTTTGAGAACTTTTATTAAAAAAGTAGATTGTGAAAATATTTGAATTTCAACGAAGAATTTCATTATATTCGTGAAATGTAATTAAATTCTTAGAAAAAAATTAATAAGAGAATAATTCCATTTTTCTTGAAATTTACTTTAAATTGTATTAAAAATAATTGAAACCATGTGAAGAATTTTATTATTTATGAAAATAACTTAATTTTTGCAACGAATTTTATTATAATGTTTGTAAATAATTTAATTTTTTTTTTGAAAAATTTTATGGAAATTAAAATTTTTATAAAACATGAAGATATCAATCACTCTGAGTCTTTGACTCGGAGTAATTGATATCTTCATGTTTTATAATAATATTTTTATAAGTTGTTGAATTTAAAAATGTTTGAATTTGAATGTTTTGAAGAATTTTAATTCCTATGGAAAAATAATAATTAAATACTTATTTAAAAATTTAGTTATTGATGTTTGCGAATAATTTTACAATTTAAGAAATTCGAAAGTTTATGGAATAGAATGTTTTTAATAATTTTTAGAGTGAATCAGAATATTCTTTATGGTCAGGGAAAAAGTGAAAATTTTGTCTGGAAATCAGGAAAAAGTCAGGGAAAAATAAAATTAAATATTTGTGGCAACCCCAGGGTGGCCACATGTCAGTAAAGTCAGGGAAATGTCAGGGAAAAAAATATTTTGCCAGTAAAGTCAGGGAAATGTCAGGAAAAATTTTTTTGTCAGGGCAATTAAAGAAGAAGGTAAATGTCAGGAAAAAAAAATTTTTGTCAGTAAAGTCAGGGAAATGTCAGGAAAAATTTTTTTGTCAGGATAATTAAAGAAATTAAGACGGTCATGCAATACATTTTTTGCTCTAAACAAAAAAATTTTTGTCAGGGAAATTCGTTGTTATGTCAGTAAAATGTCAGGGAAATTGATAAAGTCAATCTTGCGGCCACCCTGAACCCTGAATTTTTTAAAACCTATACGATTGATTGTTCAGAATCGTAAGAAAAGCCTAAGAAAAATTCGGCAATAAAAAATAATAATAAATGTGGAAGTAGTTGAACAACAAACAAAACCAACAAAAAAACCTTGAAAATTTCCAAAAACCTTGAAAAAACCGGGAAATAGACGTGAATTTTATTCACGAGTTTTGGTGGCCACCCTGTAATACATAATTTCTTACAGACGGGTGGTACAAAAACATTTCCGGAATGCGTTTTCAAAAATTTTAATTTTTCAATTATTTATAAACAATTAAAATTTAAAGTACGTTTTTTAGAAAATTCACTATTGCTTCGTTATTTTTTAATAAAATTTAATAATATTTGGTAGAGATATACAAAAATAATGCCTCTATTAAAAACAAAAAGAATTTAAAACATTCATGATTATTTATGCAAAATAAATTGTTAATTAATTAAACAATTAAAGTTTTAAGAGACTTCTGCAATAGTTACGAAAAAAATTCAAAAACTACAAAAATCTATGTTTTCTAAACTTCAATTTCCAAAAAAAAGTTTTAGTAAGGGAGATTGGGGTATTGTGGGCCACACTTTTTCTTAGCTCAATATCTTACACAAAATTTTTTTCTTTTTTTAATGTTGGGAAATTGTGGGCCAGTGCCTAAATTAAGTTGAAAATAAAACATAACGATGAAATATATTTATTAAATGGTTAGAAATATTAAACATGTTATAAATGTTCAATTGTTAATTTAAAATTAGAAAAGAGAAAGTAAGGAAATGAAATTAATTGTAATCAAAATTTGGACAAGTAAAATAGGCTCCATTAATTACACATTTTAAGTGAACAGCTCTATCGCATAAATCTATCGCGAAAAAATGTACTTTTTCATTTCAAATCACTCTACAGGTCAATCACAATTTTTCATTGAAAAGATTTTTCTTTTTTTCTAAATCTTCGTAATTAAATTTTTTATCGATCTTTCGACACCGATTTTTGAATTTTTGTTTTCAAACATTTTTTTAATAAAACAATAAGTATTAAAAAATCATAAAATCGTAAACAAAAATTCAAAAATCGGTCTCGAAAGATCGATAGAGAATTTAATTACGAAGATTTAGAAAAAAAAGATAATATTTGGAGAATAAAAATAATGGTTTGTTTTTAATTTTTATTTAATATAATAATCTGCAGATAGCATCCAGATCGAAACTCCAAAAAGTTAATTGTCTAATTGCGGACAGTTTATCTCAAGATTGACAAATCGGAAACAAAAAATTTGGATTGGAATCCTGGAAAATTATTGTTGTCTAAAGTTATTGTGCTTATTCTTGAAATTTAATTTTTCTTTATTTTATATTTCAATTTTCTTAATTCAATTTTAAAAGAGTTTCCTATACAATTTTTCTTCGCAATAATTCAATTATTTTCATAAAAATAATAAAACTCATCGCAAAATTTCAATTATTTTTAATACAATTTTAATGGAATTTCTCGAAAAATTTATAATTATTTTTAAAAATTATATTAAAATTCATCAAAGAAATTCAATTATTTTCAAAAGTAATAAAATTCTTCGCAAAAATTCAATTGAGGGTTCACGTGCAATAAGGGGATACGCATGGAAGTGAAAGTCCCCGCGTATAGCGATTCTGCGGCTGCGCGAGAGGACAACGAATAGCCTGCGCGTCCCCTTATTGCACGTAAACCCTCAATTATGGTCAAAAGTTTAAAAAATTTATCGTCAAAATTTCAATTATCTTTATAAATATTAAAATTTTTCTCCAAAATTCAATATTATTTTCAAAAATTTTAATGAAATTCTTTTTAACAAATTCAATTTCTTTATCAAAAATTCTTCTCCAGTCAATGATTTTCAATATCTACTATTTTTAAAAAAAATTTCCAAAAGAAATAAATTATTTAAAATTTTTTTTTATAAATTTCTTCGCAATAATTCTATTACAGGGATTCAATTATTATTTTCATAGATAATAAAATTCATTGCAGAATTTCAATTATTTTTGATACAATTTTAATCGAATTCCTCGAAAAATGTAATTATACTTAAAAATTTTATTAAAATTCGTCAAAAGAATTCAATTATTTAAAAATTTGTTAATAAAATTCTTTATGAGAATTCAATTTTGAGAAACATTCAATTATTCAATAAATTATTTACTTTCTGTATTAAAAATAATTAGGTATTTAAAAAGAAATATTATTAAAAAATTCTTCTCAAGAATTCAATTATTTTCAAAAGTAATAAAATTCTAAGCAGAAATTCAATTATGGTCAAAAGTTTAAAAAAAGTTATAGTCAAAATTTCAATTATTTTTATAAATATTAAAATTTTTCTCTAAAATTCAATTATTTTCAAAAATTTTAATAAAATTCTTGGCAATATTTCAATTATTAAAAAAAATTTTAATAAAATTCTTGACAAAATTTCAATTATTTTTAAAAACTTTTCTCAATTCAATAGAATTTTTTGACAGAGATTCAATTATTTTTGATACATTTTTAATCTAATTTCTCGAAAAATGAAATTATTCTTAAAAATTTTATTAAAATTCGTCAAAAGAATTTTAATTACCTATTTAAAAATTTGTTGATAAAATTCTTTAAATGAGAGTTGAATTTAAAAAATCATTGAATTCTTCAATAAATTATTTTTTTGTATTTAAATAATTGAATTGTCGTAGAATTTTCTAATAATAATTGATTGAAATATGAATTTCAATTAAAACTTTAGATAATAATTGAGTTTTGAAAAGCAGGTCTCAAATTATAATCTTTGAATGTTTGAATTTTTCATACTTTTAACTTAAAATTGTGTAGATTTAATTTTTTTGTAAAAGTTGAATTGAATTTTTTTGAAGTTATTTCAAGTTTTTATTTTCTAATATATATTTGATTGAAGAATTTCCGAATACCTGAATAATCGATGAAATTTCGTAAAATTGAATTGTAAACAAAAGGATTTAAAAATGTTGAAAGAAATTTTTCAGAAATTATTAATAATAATTAATTTACACTTTATAAAGAAGAATTTTAGTTAAAAATGGTGGAAAACAATAATTGAATTAAAATAATGAAAGTAATTTTGAATAAGTTACAGTAACAATATTCTTATAATAATAATAGGTAAAAAATGATGATTTCATCAGTCCAAAATTTTTAATTATTATAAAACATGAAGATATCGATTGCTCCGAGTCGAAGACTCGGAGTGATCGACATTTTCATGTTTTATAACAATTTTTTATAAGTTGTTTAATTTCAAAAAGGTTAGAATTAAAAATTTTGTAAAATATAAATGTAGTTTTAAAAACCTGGAAAAATTCCGTTTTTTAACCTGGAAAACCTGGAAAAGTGAGGGAATTTGAAATGAGCAAAAGCGTGGCAACCCTGATAATGGATTGACCCATATATAAAATAAATTTCAAGTAGGGTCGTGAATCAAAAATGCTGGTTGTTTTTTCAGGGTTATAATTTAAATTTTGCTTTAAAAGGGTTGTTGCTTCTAGGGTTAAAAAATATTTTTTGAATAATAATTTTAACGCTTTTATTTTCTTTGTTTAGCACCTGCTATGTCTCCATTTATGCCAAATCCACCACCTATACAACCACCATTGCCAGCTTCAGTAAGTATTGAATTTATAGTCTCGATAAATTTTTAGAAATAATTGAATTTTGAAAAGGTTTCAGTTCAAAATCTTTAAAAATTAAAATTTTTCATACTTTTAATTAACAATTCTTTAGAACTAATTTATTATAAATTAAAATTATTTTGTAAACAAATGGATTTAAAAAATTCTAAAAGAACTTTGTCAAAAATTATTAAAAATAATTAATTTATTTAAAGAAGAATTTTAGTTAAAAATTCTAGAAAATAATAATTGAGTTGAAATGATGAAAATAGTTTTAAAAAAGTTGAGGGAAAAACAAAATTAAATTTTTGTGACAACCATGTGTACTTATGAAATTTATTTTCTCAAGTACTTGAATGATTTAATAACATTTTGTTTTGATGTTGTTTCTTTAAAGATTGGAATGAAGCATTCAGCAGAACCAATAGAAGAGGAACCACCGTCTAAAAAATTAAGAACTGAAGATTCTTTGGTACCTGAACAACAATTTTTGGCCAGGAATAAGGTATTGATAATATATCAATAAATAAAGTTTTCTCTTAATCAGTATGTTTAATTTATCAAAATAAAGAAATGTTATTTCGTAATTAAATTTTTTACTAGGTATTGATTGTTGAATTTCGGTTTTCTTTCAGGGTCCAGTTCAAATTAACATTTCAGTGCCTTTAATGGCCGAGAAGACTGAATGGAAGTTAAATGGTCAAACATTGGGAATCACTTTACAACCCAGTGACACTGTGGCAGTTTTGAAAGCACGCATTCATGAACAAACTGGAATGCCTCCTGGCAAGCAAAAACTGCAATATGAGGTAAGATTTACACCGACACTTCATTTTTCGTTTTCCTTTTTTTTTGTTTTTTCCATTCAACAATAATTGGTCAAAAAAATACATAATTATTTGTGTTTTATGTTGTTTTATAATAGCCGATTTTACTAATTTCATATTTGTTGAAACAAGAAAAATCAAAACAAAATTCAAAAACACCTTTTCACTTATTTTAGAGAAAAAAATACTGTGATCTCTATGAGCAAGCTTCGCACTCATCTACTAAAACCTACTATTTACTACTGTTTTTTATAATTTGCTACTATTTGGATACCTTTTTAGATTTATGCCACTAAAAGCTACTTTTTTCTTTATTTTTGGGGGAAATTTGCATCACATTAAATTCGCTAATAGTTGAAATAAAAAAAATTCTAAATTTATAATAATAAAATTCTTTAAAACGATTCAATTATTCTCAAAAACTTTTCGAAAATCAATGATTTTCAATATCTATATGTACAATTTTAATAAAATTCCATAAAAGATTTTTGATAAAATTCTTTGCAAAGATTTTCAATTTTTTTTATAAATAATATTTTCACAGGAATTGAATTATTTAAAATTTTTCATAAAATTTTTCATAAAATTCTACAGCAAGAATTCAATTATTTTCACAAATAATAAATTTTTCACGAGAATTCAATTATTTAAAAGGAATTAAATAAAATTCTTCGTAAGAATTCAATTATTTTTTAAAAAATTGATAAATTCTTTAAAAGAATTAAATTTTGAAAAACATTCAATTATATATTCAATATATTATTTATTTTTGTTTTTAAAAAGTTAAATTTTATTTGAACTTTTTAATAAGAAATGATTTAAAAACGAATTTCAGTTAAAATTTTAGATAATAATTAAATATTAAAAGCGTTGTAGTAAAACTTTTTTTTTAGAAATTGATAAATAAATTTTAAAAGGTTATTAAATTGAAATCGTTGAAATTTTTAATTTTTGTAAAACTGTAATAACATTTAAATTTTTATTTTGGTAAATTATTAATTCACTAGCAAATGTTACGCGCGGAACGTGATATTCAATTTATTATTATTCTGTAAATTACAAAATTTTTTATTTTCAAATATGAATGTTTGAATAATTTCATATTCTAACTTATAAAAAATTAAATTATTAACTAATTTACAAATTAATTATTCTTGTATATTAATTTCAAAAATTTTAATAAAATTCTTCACAAGAACTCAATTATTTTCTTAAATAATAACATTCTTCATGAGAATTCAATTGTTTTTATAAATATAGTAAATTTTTTTGGTAAAAATTCAATTATTTTCAAGATAATTTGCAAAATCTTTGCAAAAATTCAATTATTTTCAAAAAAATTTCACAATAGAATACAATTTTTTTAATAAACTTTTAATAAATTCTTCGAAAAAGTTCTATTATATTTATAAATAGTAAAATTCTTTGCAAAAATTCAATTATTTTTAATACAATTTTAATAAAATTTCATGAAAGAATTAAATTTTAAAAAATTTTTATTCATATTTTTCAAAAAAATGCAATTATTGTTTTTGATTAGTTTTAATATTGTTAAGTACTTTGTACAAAAGGGCTTTGTGTCCGTAAACACATATATAAATAAATAAATTATTTTCTAAGATTTTAATAAATCCTTCGAAACAATTTAATTATATTTATAAATAGTAAAATTCTTTGCAAAAATTCAATTTTTTTCTTAATTCGTTAAAAAAATTTTCAAAAGAATTCAATTATTTTCTGAAATTTTAATAAAATTCAGGGCTCGAAGCAGTGAAAGTATTTAAAAATACGGACTTTACGGACCAAAAATTAAAAATTACGGACCAACTGACAAAAATAGAATCAGGCCGAATCAAATAAGAGAACATTTTACTTAAAACTAGAAATTCAATTTTTCATAACTATAAAACATGAAGAAATCGATAACTTCGAGTCTTCGACTCGAAGTCATCGATTTCTTCATGTTTTATAATAATTAATAATAATTATTAATAAAAATAATTTATAATAATTAAAATTATTATCAATTCAATAATTATTTTTAAGAATATTTATCTAATATTCTTCTTTATATCGATAATTTTTAATAATTTTCGAAAAAGTTCTTTGACAATTTTCAAATTCATTTCTTTACGATATTCAATTTTACGAAATTTCAATTATTCTTAAATTCTTTAATTAAATAAATATTAGAAAATAGAAACTAAAAATAATATTAAAACAACTCAATTAAACTTATTCAAAAAAATTAATTACAAAATTCAATTATTTTTTAAAATTCACGCTCTATTGCATTTAATATTCAATTATTATCTAAAATTTTAACTGAAATTCATTTTTATGAAATGAAAATAAATTTTCATTAGAAAATTCTACTAGAATTTAATTATTTAAATACAAATTTAAATGTAAAAATGCAAATAAATAATTTATTGAATAATTGAACGTTTCTTAAAATTCAATTCCCATAAAAAATCGTTATCAACAAATTTTCAAATAATTGAATTCTATCAACGAATTTTAATGAAATTTTTAAGAATAATTACATTTTTCGAGAAATTCGATTAAAATTGTATTAAAAATAATTGAAATTCTACATTGAATTTTATTATTTATGAAAATAATTGAATTCTTGCGAAGAATTTTATTAAAATTTTGAAAAATAATTAAATTCTTGTAAAAAATTAACAGGAATTCAATTATTTTTAAAAATTTTAATAAAGTTCTTGGCATAAATTAAAAATAACAAAATTCTTAGCAGATCTTCAATTACTTTCAGAAATTTTAATAAAAACTTTAGCAAGAATTTAAATATTTTCGTAAAGTAATAAAAATCTTTGCAGAGATTCAATTATTTTTCAAAAGTCTTAATAAAATTCTTCGCAAGAATTCAATTATTTTTAAAAATATCAGAATTTTAGCATAATTTCAAACATTTTAAAAAGTTTTGATAAAACTTTTTTTGGTATAGAATTTTAATTATTTTTAAGACAATTTTTAAAAAAATGTTTCAATAAAATTCAATTATTTCTAAAATTTTAATGAAATTCTTCGAAAGAATTCAATTATTTTTATCTAAGATTTTAACTGAAATCTATTTGTAAATCAATGTTTATGAGAAAATTCTACCAGATTTCAATTATTTAAATTCAAAAATAAATAATTTATTGAATAATTGAATGTTTCTTGGAATTCAATTCCTATTGTATTAAAAATTTTATCAACAAATTTTTAAATAATTAAATTCTTTGGACGAATTTTAATAAAATTTTTATGAATTTTTTCGAGGAATTCGACTAAAATTCTTTTGAAAATAATTAAAAGTTTTTGTGGAATTTTATTAAATTTTTTTTTTAAATAATTAAATTCTTTTGGTAAATTTTATGAAAATAGTAGATATTGAAGAATATTTAATTTTTGTGAAAAATATTATTACTTTTGAAAATAATTCAAATTTTGCAATGAATTTTATTAAAATTTTTGAAAATAAGTGAATTTTATTACTTTAGGAAATAATTGAATTCGTGTAATAAATATTGTTAATTATGAAAATAATTGAAATTTTTTAATGAATTTTAATAAAATTTTTGAAAATAATTGAATTTTGTCGAAGAATTTTGCTATTTATTTATAAAGATAATTGAAATGTTGACAATGTTTTTTTTAGATTTTTTGAAAATAATTGAATTTCGGAGAAGAATTTTAATATTTCTAAAGATAATTGAAATTTTGACGAGAATTTAAAAAAATTTTTGAACATAATTGAATTTTTGCGAAGAATTTTATTACTTTTAAAAATAATTGAATTTCAGCAATCATTGGTAATTTCTCTAAAATTCTCCAAATTATATCGTACAATTTACGAACTTTTCATCCTTTTTGAATGAAATTACGGACTTTATGGACCTTTTTTTTCGAAAAAATGGACTTTTCATAATTTTATTTGTTTACTTTTAAAAATTACTTTGAAATACAATCGTATTTTTTCTTTAAAACTAATTTTCGATAGCTACTTTTTTCAATATTAAAACTACTTTTTGATACAGTACCGTCCGAAATTGTCAGTCCACCCATTTTCAAAGGAATGACAAAAATTTTTTAACATAAAATTCATGAAAAGTAAAATTTTTTTTGGTTTATATTTTGAAAGACGATAAAATTTTGAAAAGAATAAGACCTTACAGAAGTCATTTGGCCAAAATTTGTAGAAGATATTCTTAAAAATCGTCATTTTCAATGTTTTACAAAAATTTGAATAACTTCTAAAATAATGAACGCTTTTTAATAATCTTAGCCTTATTTTAAAGACCATTTTCTACAGAATAAGAATTACTTATAGGCATTAACCTGTAATTTTTAACTTGGAATAAGCATGACGTCAAAGTTGGACAAAAAAATTCAAAAAATTTGAAATAATATTATTAAAAGAAAAATAATTTTTGAAATTCAAACATATATTTTTATTAAATTTTCTTGAAAAATCTACACCATATAATGTTTTATATATGTTCTAGAATAGTTTTTAGTACAAAAAATTGATTTCAAATTTTTCCAATTTTTTTGTCTAATTTTGACGTCATGCTTATTCCAAGTTAAAAATGACAGGTTAATGCCTATAAGTAATTCTTATTCCGTAGAAAAAGACCTTTAAAATAAGCCTAAGGTTATTAAAAAGCGTTTATTATTTTAGAAGTTATTTAAATTTTTGTAAAACATTGAAAATGACGATTTTTAGGAATATCTTCTACAAATTTTGGCCAAATGACTTCTGTAAGGTCTTATTCTTTTCAAAATTTTATCGTCTTTCAAAATATAAACCAAAAAAAATTTTAGTTTTCATGAATTTTATGTTAAAAAATTTTTGTCATTCCTTTAAAAATGGGTGGACTGACAATTGCGGACGGTACTGTACTTTTTTAAAATTAATTATTGAGTGTGAAGCCTGTGAGAGATGATTGTTTTAACTTATTTAATAATTAAATACTTTAACTTGATTGAAGGTGAAATATTTAAAAATCTAATCTTTTTTTTCCATTTCAGGGCATGTTTTTCAAAGACAACAACACACTCGCTTATTATAACCTTACATCAGGTAATGTTATAAATCTTCAACAGAAAGAACGTGGAGGTCGTAAAAAGTAAATTTCTCACTAGTTTTTATAAAACAGTGATTTTAAAGATAACCTTAATGTACATGTGGAAGTATTCTGCCTACAATATTCAATAAGATTTTCAAATAATTATTTCATTCTTTACAATCGAAAAGATTAATTTTCTAGTATTTTTGATGAGTGGGATGGAATTCATTTTAACTAAATAGATTTGATTAAATATAGTTTTATTTTTGTTGAATAAATAACAATAAATTTATTACATTTCTTACAAAATCTACAAAAAATAGAAATGTCAATTTCAATTAAGAATGCATTTCGTCGTGCATTTTGATGTATCAAAAATTTTTGTGCGCAAAGAAATTTACACTGAGAATTAATAGATTCTCATTAAAAAAAAATCATTGTAAATAAGTTTAGTCTTGTTTCATGGGGAAATAAAATAAATTTTCTCCGTAAGAAACTACATTTCGAATATCTTGTAATATGACTCTTGAATAAATAAAGATCATTGCAAAAATCTACAATTTTTGTTTTTAAAATATTCGTTGTGCTTAATCACATTCATTGGATATTCGAGCAAAGATGAAAAAATATAATAAGTTTACTTTCGTTCCATTTTGTTCTTTTTACATCATTTGTATGCGATTATTTTTAAATTTTCCTGGTTATGGTTGCGTTCACGAAGTAATTGTTTTTTAGAGAGGAAAAATTATCAATAACTTAATTAAGGATGTTTTGTCTATTATCTCAAATTAAACAAAACCCAGTTGTAAGTATAATTTTCAAAAAAATATTCTACTACTAAATTTATTGTTAAAAACATTAATTATTATTAAACATTTGGTTTCCTATTTAAATTTATCAAACAAGTATAATTTATGTACAACTTTTACAAAAAGTAGCTTATTGTTTTCCTTTTTAAAATATCTTCTACAAGTTTGCTTTGTTGAAATTATTTTTTGTTAGGAAAGTATAAAAATAACAAATTTATTTTTCTATAAATATATTATTAACAAAGTTCGAGAAAACATGATTGCAGAGGATATTATAAGAAGCAAAATTAGTAACTACGGTTCTTAAAAAATAAAAAAAATTATACTTGTTCGATAAATTTTTGAGAGAAACAAAATGATAAATAATTAATATTTGATGATAAATTTTGCATAAAATTAATTTGTTATAAATAATTATTTTAAAATAATTTGTACCTAAAATTGAAAGTTCTGAAATGTTGTAATGCCAATTTTCATTAGAGTATTAATTGCTGTTAAAAATAATTTTTAATTTCAAGTTTTATGTCGAGAGGGATAAAATATCCTTAATTTAAATTAACTTTATTATATTACATCAATTTCATTACTTTATGCGTTAGTTTCGTGTGTAATTTATTTTAATAAAAGTATATCAAACCTTATTTGATTTTATTGAAATAGAATTTTCTAGAAAAACCTAAAAAGTTTCGAAAAAAATATTCGTGAACGGAATCCTAGGCAAGTGTAATTCGCAGTTGACTGGATTCTCTCTTTTTCATTAACAATTTTTAAAGTTTCGTTGTTAGTTGCTTAATTATATTTCTATACCTTAAGATCATAGGCTTGTATATCTGAAATTAGAAATTAAAGTTTATATAATTAGTACACGAAATCTTAATGAGATTAATAATTGGATTAAGGGGACTCGCACCAGAATTTTCAACTATCTGAGAACATAGTTCAAAAAAATGTTTTTGATTTTTTTAACACTATTTTCAGTCAAAAGTCAAGTGCAAAAGACAGGCTTCACACTCATAAGTTTGTATTAAAACTTATTATTTGCTACTTTTTTTTCGTTATGATACCATTTGGGTTCTTTTTTATTGATTTCAGCCACTAAAAGTTACTATTTCTGTTTTTTTAAAATTTCCACTACTTTAAATTCGCTAACTAGAAATCAAAAAAATTTTCTCAAAAATTATAATCAAATTCTTTAAAACGATTCAATTATTTTCAAAAAATATTTAAAATTCAATTTAAAATAAAAATACAAATTTTTAAATAAAATTTTCATAATATTTGTTATATTTAGAAAAAATTAATTATTTAACAAAATTTTTATAATATTCTTATGAAGAATTCAATTATTTTCAAAAATAACAAAATTTTTCATAGAAATTCAATTCCATTTGAATATTTTAATAAAATTTTTCGCAATAATTCAATTATTTTCATAAATAATAAAATTCATCGCAGGATTTCAATTATTTTTAATACAATTTTACAGGAATTGCTCGAAAAATGTAATTATTTTTAAAAATCTAATTCCAATTCCTCGAAAAAATCAATTATTTAAAAAAATATTTCTTTTTAAATTCCTTGAAAGAATTCAATTATTTACAAAAATATTAGAATTTTTCACAGGAATTCAATTATTTTCAAATATTTTAATAAAATTGTTCGAAAGAAATCAATTATCTTAAATATAATTTTAATTAAATTTTTTTGAAATAATTCAATTATATTTTTAGATTTTAATAAAATTCTTCCCAAGAATTCAATTATTTACATAAATAATTCTTCGAAAGAATTCAATTATGTCGATAAATAAGAAAATTATTCCCGAAAATTCAATTATTTTGAGTCATTTTTAATCAAATTCTTTGAAAAATTCAATTATTTTAGAAAGTAATAAATTTGTTCTTAAAAATTCAATTATTTTAAAAAATTCTAATAAAATCGTTAGCAAGAATTCAATTACTTTCAGAAATAATAAAATGCCCCACAGACATTCAATTATTGTCAAAAATTTTAATGGATTTCTTTGTAAAATTTAATTATTTTAAAAACTTTTCGCAATTTTATGATTTTCAATATCTAGGTACTATTTTCATAAAATTTCCAAACAAAATTCAATTGTTTAAGAATTTTTTTGTAAAAATCATCGTAAGAATTCAATTCTTTTCATAAATAAAAAAAAAACTAGAAAATTAAAAAAAAAATAAGTTAGAATTTTTATGAAATTAGTCGAAAGAAATCAATTATTTAAAATTTTTTATAAAATTCTTCCCAAGAATTAAATTATTTTTATAAATATTTAAATTCTTTCATGAATAGTAAAATTCGTTGCAGGAATTCAATTTATTAGCAGGATATAAGAAAGAAGTAAATATTTTTAATGAAAATTGGGAAAATGTCAGGAAAATAAAATATAGAATGGCATTTTTGACAGTTTTTTGAAGTGTCTAAAACGAATTTTTTCAGTTGTCAAGTTTTATTTTTCGATAGCTACTTTTTGTTAGTTTGAAAGCTTTACTTTTTGCTACTTTTTTCAAAATTAATTATCGAGTGTGAATTCTAAAAAGAAAAAAAATTTTTTACATTCTTTTTCTAATATTATTTTTAGTAAAAAAATCGATAAAAAAGAACAAAAATTTTTTAAAGATTTTTTTTGGAAATATTGACACTAACTTTTATAATTAAAATATTTATGTAAAGCATTGAAATTATAATATTGTAAAAAATAAAAGGTTATTTAATTATATTGAAGCTTTATTCATATTAAGTGTACTTAATACGATTTTTTACTAATTATTTATAAAAAAATGCTTCTTCTTCCATAAAATTCAACATTTTTTTATGGTTCTTGTTTCATTGAGTTTCTTACACTGTCTTTTACATTTAAGGGTAAATGGGTTTTATGGAATTTTAATTTTATGAAAAGTTATAGTGTTTTTAATTATGTTCTGATATGGTATAAATTCAGGTGAGGGTGGGTCGCCTTAAAAATTTACTTACTGTGTCTGCGTCATGGTAAGGCTCACAAAATAAAATTGGCTCCGGCAAATTATTTATTAAATCCTCCAGAATATTATCATTTTTTAATAATGCAAATTTTGCACGATATGTGGCGCCCATTGCTGCTGTGTTCACAACATTCTGTTTAATAAAATTTTTTTTATGAATTTAAAGAAGAAAAAAATCTGATTATATTTGATGGCATTAAAAAAAATTTGTTTAATAGAAACTGAGGAGCAAGTTTTCAAAAGCTGATAAATCTATTTTTCAAAAATAAATGAAAATAAACTTGAGTATCTGACAAATGAAAAATCCGTTGCTGTTAGAGATTTATCAAGTTTAGAAAACTTGTTCCTCAACTAAACTTTTCTAATTGAAACATTTTAATTATTTAATTTGAAAAACTAAATTCTCCTCAAGAAAGTAAATTCAGGGCTCGGATCGTCTTTAAGACTCAAAAAAGTCGCTTTAGTCGCATAAACTTACAACAAAAGTCACGAGAAGTCGCATAAAATTTCCGAAAAAGTCGAAAAAAAGTCGCATGAAATCTTAGAAAAAATAAAAAAAAACGACAAAAAGAAAACACAAAATTAACAAAATTGACAAAATTGTAAAAAAATTACATTTCTCGACAACAGATATTAATATCAAACAATCCAGAATAAAATTTTAAAAAATTTAATAAAATTCATAGCAAAATTTTAATTATGTATTATTAACATTTTTTTAAAAATTCTCTTTAAAATGTCAATTATTTTTATAAATAATAAAATTCTTCTACGAAAATCAATTATTTAAAAAAAAATTTAATAAAATTCTTCTCTAAAATTCAATTATTTTCAAAAGTAATAAAATTCTTCGCAGAAATTCAATTATATTTAAAATTTTATAAATAATAAAATTCATCATAAAAATTTAATTATTTTCAAAAGTTCTGATAAAATTCTTTGCAAAATTCAATTATCTTAAAAAGTAAGAAAATTCTTTACAGAAATTCAATTATTTTCAAAATTTTTTTTTAAATTCTCCTCAAAATTTCAATTATGTTTATAAATATCAAAATTCTTCTGCAAAATTCAATTTCTTTTTAAACATTTAAAAAAAAAATCTGTTCAAAATTTTAATTATCTTTGTGAATAATAAAATTCTTCTCTGAAATTCAATTATTTGCAAAGAATTTTAATAAAATTTATCCTAGAAATTCAATTATTTTTATAAGTAATAAAATTCTTGGCAGAAATTAAATTATTTTCAAAATTTCAATTATTTTTATAAATATCAAAATTCAATTACTTTTAAACATTTTTAAAACAATCTGTTCAAAATTTCAATTATCTTTGAAAGTAATAAAATTCTTCTCTGAAATTCAATTATTTGCAAAAATTTTAAAAAAATTCTTGTCAAAATTTCAATTATCTTTATAAATAATAAAATTCATTCTAGAAATTCAATTATTTTAAAGTTTTTTTTAAATTTCTCGTCAAAATTTTAATTATTTTCATAAATAATAAAATTCATCCTGGAAATTTAATTATTTTCAAAAGTTCTGTTAAAATTCTTTGCAAAATTCAATTATTTTCAAAAAGTAAGAAAATTCTTGGCAGAAATTAAATTATTTTCCAATTTTTTTTAAATTCTCCTCAAAATTTCAATTATGTTTGTAAATATCAAAATTCTTCTGCAAAATTCAATTACTTACTAATGTTTTATACATTTGTTCCCAATAATTCAAATATTTTCATAAAAAATAATTAAAAAATTTTTTCTTATAAAGTCTTATATAATATTAATATGAAATATAATGATTTTATCACTCGGTCATCTTTAATTATTATAAAACATAAAAACATCGATTGCTCCGAGTCGAGGACTCGGAGTGATCGATTTCTTCATGTTTTATAACAATTTTTTATAAGTTGTTTAATTTCAAATAGGTTTGAATTTGAATCTTTTGAAAAATTTTAATTCCTATGGAAAAATAATAATTAAATATTTATTTAAAAAAGAAATTATTGATGTTGTCGAAAAATTTGAAAGAAATTTGTAAATAAATGTAACAGAACATTTTTTTGACTCAAACTTTTTTCTTTAAATTAAAAATTGTTTTTTTAATTTCTGTCGCATTTTACTAAAAAAAATCTCGAAAAAGTCGATTAGTCGCATTTTTTCACAAAAAAGTCGAAAAAAGTCATATTTCCTTAGAAAAGTCGAAAAAAGTCGAAAAAGTCGCACAATCCAAGCCCTGTAAATTTAGAAGTGAACTTGAAAGAACTTATTATTGTGCTTAAAAGTAAACACTTAAATTTAATTAAATTTAAGTAGTGTTAATAAAATAAGCAAGAGAATTATTTAATATAAATATTTATAACTAACCGATATGTAAACTGGTGAGTTGAAAACGTCGGCAAGAACTTGCAAAATTGCTTTATTCACTGAGGTACCTCCAGTGGCTATAATTCTTGTATTTGGTCCTAGGATTAAATTATTATTAACACTGGAAGAAAAATAATAAATTCAACAATTTATTATAAAACATGATCCAAAGAGTCTTTTATACCGATCGAAAAACCAAAGTCTTCGGCGTACGCTCTTTTGGCGATGAATTGTCCCTCTATTAGAGCTCTTACTTCCACTTCCTTCGAACTGTATCGATTTATTTTCTCGTTTGCTTTATTAAATCTATAATCTCCAATAACAGAAGGTAAAATTTCCTGAGAATCAAAATATAGTCCTAAATTTCCAAAATTCCCTCGTGGCGTGCTCTCCAATAATTCATTGAAAATGGGCCACGAACCTTGTGCTGCACTGTCGCATATTCTCTTGCGGGTCAAGGATCCATTTTTGAAACTGAGAAATTTTTCATATTTTTTCAGATTCATTTTTTTGTTATACATATATCAAGGTGGACCGAAAAAATAAAAAATTCTATTTAATGCTAAAAACTCGTATAAAATACATGGAATTAAAAAAATTAATATTTATCTTGACCACATAGTTTGAAAAATATAATAATATAATAATTAATAAAATTAATATATATAAAATATAATAATTAATCGCTGTTTTTTTATAATTTTTTGATATTAGACAAAATGGAGGATTATTTTCCAAAAAAGTAAAATAAGCGTCCAAATAAGAGAACATTTGACATAAAACAAAAAATTAAATTTTTCATAAGTATAAAACATAAAGATTTCTTCATGTTTTATAATAATTAAAGATGACCGAGAGATAAAATCATTATCAATTCAATTATTATTTTCAAGAATTTTTAACTAAAATTCTTCTTTAAATAACTAATTTTTTAATAATTTTCGAAAAAATTCTTTGACAATTTTCAAATCCATTTGTTTACAATATTCAATTTTACTAAATTTCAATTATTCGTAAATTTTTCAATTAAATATATATTAGAAAATAAAAACTTTAAATAATAAATAAAATAAATAAAAATAAAATAAAAAATAATAATATAAAAAAATAAATAATACCTAATATAAAAAAAATGCAATTAAACTTTTTCAAAAAAATTAATTTCAAAATTCAATTATTTCTAAAAGTTTACGCTATATTGCTTTTAATATTCAATTATTATCTAAAATTTTAACTGAAATTAATTTTTAAATAAATTTTTATTAGAAAATTCGACGAGAATTCAATTATTTAAATATAAAAATAAATAATTTTTGTAAATAATTGATTACTTTTTAAACTTGAATTCTCACAAAAAATTGTATCAACAAAATCTTAAATAAACTGAATTCCTTTGACGAATTTTAATAAAATTTTTAAGAATAATTACATTTTTCGAGAAATTCGATTAAAATTGTATTAAAATTAATTAAAACTCTGCGATGAGATTTATTATTTGTAAAAATAATTGAATCCCTTAGATTCTTGAAAGTAATTGAATTTCTACAATAATTTGTAACTTTTCGAAAATTAAATTTTTTTTTCGTGTTTTTAACTAAAATTCTTCTATAAATGCAATATTTTTAATAATTTTTTAAAAAGTTCTTTTAGAATTTTCAAAATCATTTGTTTACCATTCAATTTTATAAAATTTCAATTATTCGAAAATTCTTCAATATTAGAAAATAAAAATTTCAAAAACAATCTTCAATTAAACTTTTTTAAAAATTTAATTCCACAGAATTGTTAGATAAAAATATGATAAATTTAGATTTTCAAAGATTTTTATTTGAAACCTTTTCAAAATTCAATCATTTCTAAAAATTTAGGCTCTAATGCTTTTAATATTCAATTATTATCTAAAATTTGAACTGAAAATTCTTCCCATAAAGAATTTTATCAACAAATTTTTTAAATAATTGAAATATTTCGACGAATTTTAATAAAATTTTTAAGAATAATTACATTTTTCGAGAAATTTGATTAAAATTGTATTAAAAATAATTGAAATTCTGCAAAGAGTTTTATTATTTATGAAAATAATTGAATTCCTAAAAAGAAGTTTATTAAACATTTTTTGAAATAATTCAATTTCTGCAAAGAATTTTGTTTTTTATAATGATAATTGAATTTTTACAAAGAATTTTCTTATTTATTAAATAATTGAATTATTTCGAATGATTTTACTATTTATAAAAATAATTGAATTCTTGCGCAGAATTATTATTGATGAATTTGAATTTTTAGGAGATTTCTATTAAATTTTCTGTAAATAATTCAATTTCATTTTCGTAAAAAATTTAAAGTTTTCGAAAATAATTGAATTTCTGCCAAACATTTTATTATTAATTGCAAAAATTGCATTTCTGGGGAGAATTTTGTTTTTTAAAAATGATCATTGAATTCTTGGGAAAAATTTTGTTAAACATTTTTGCAAATAATTGAATTTCTGCGATGAATTTTATTTTTACAAAGATAATTTCATTTTCGTCAATTATTTGTTTAAAGTTTTTGAAAATAATTAAATTTTTGCAAAGAATTTGATTATTTATGAAAATAATTGAATTCTTTTAAAGAATTTTATTAAAATTTTTGGGAATAATTGAATTTCTACGATGAATTTTATTTTTTCAAAAATAATTTTATTTTCGACGATAATTTGTTTAAAGTTATTGATAATAATAGAATTTCAGACAAGAATTTTATTATTTATGAAAATAATTGAATTCCAAAAGAATTTGATTATTTTCGAAAATAATTGAATCCCTGTAAAAATTTTATTATTTATGAGAATAATTGAATGATTGCGAAGAAATTTATAAAAAAAATTTTGTAAATAATTGAATTCTTGTGAAATTGTTATTATTTTATGAAAATAATTAAAGGTTTGCGTAGAATTTTATTAATTTTTTTTTGAATAATTGAATTCTTTTGGAAAATTTAATTAAAATAGTAGATATTAAAAATCATTGAATTAAGGAAAATTTTTGAAAATAATTGAAATTTTGCTAAGAATTTTATGTATTAAAATTTTTGAAAATAGAAATTGAATTTCAGGAGAAGAATTTTATTATTTATAAAAATAATTGAAATTTTGACAAGAATTTAAAAAAATTTTTGAACATAATTGAATTTCTGCGAAGAATTTTATTACTTTTGAAAAGAATTGATTTTCTGCAATCATTTGTAATTTCTCTAAAATTCTCCAAATTATATCGTACAATTTACGAACTTTTCGTCTTTTTTCAGTCAAATAACAGACTTTGCGGACCTTTTTTCAAAAATACTGACTTTTACAGACTTCGAGCAAATTTACGGACCTAGTTCGAGCACTGAGAATTTATTCATTTATACGAGTTTTTGGAAATCTAATTTCTATTATAGACCTGAGCCATGTTAAAAAAGAAAATTTTTAGCTTTCGGTCGCCATTTCTTCTATTTTTTATTATTATTCTTTTTTTTTTTTTTTTTGTTTTATTTATAAATTGAAAAATTATTGAGATTTAATTTATATAAAATGAGCTATATAATGTACCAAAGCAAAGTAATGTAAGTTTGGTCATCCAAAGAATTGCAAAAGACATGTCCTTCTGTAATCGTCTTGGGTTCATTGAGTCCAAAAAAAAGAGTGTCACTAGTTCCTAGACTGCAAACAATGTCTTCTTTTCTTAGTTTCAATCCTAAGAAATGAGTACAAGTGTGGTCAGTATTTTTTTATTAAATTCTCTCCTTTACTGTAATTTATAAATTTATAAAAATGAAATTAAACTTTACCTGACAAGGAACTTGCATTGTCTCCCGTGAATGCAATAATCCTACATCTTTCATCAAATCCAAATCTTTCTACAAAATAGTTGGATATTGGACCAATATCACTATTTGACGAAACTGGTTTGCCAAGTTTATTTCTTAAATCTGTCCCGCACAACTAAAACATTTTTTTGAGGTTTCAATTTTAAACGATTGCATTTTTAATAATTTATAAAATTTTTTGTGTAATTTTCGAATTCCAATCTGAATTTTTACAAAAATTGTTAAAAAAAATTCTGTAGGAATTCGTAGGAATTTTGTACGAAATTTGATCGGACATTTTGGATGCATGAGAATCCTCTGTTCTTTCGTAAAAGAAAGGAGATTAAAATATAACATTCAATTGTTTTCATTGTTTTTCTCACGAGAAAAAAATGTTGATTAATGCATATTTCAGAAAATGGACAATTATGATTTGCACGGAGAAAGAAAAAAATTCAATTACTCACCTGAAGAAGTTCTTCACACCATTCTTTAGATCGTATATCCATTAAATTCATTCCAGAAGCATCAGAAAAGTCTATTGGGGCAAAATCTCCCAAAATTAAAGAAGCAAGGAAGCTGCTTATCAACGAAATTCTCTAAAATAATAAATGCAATGTTGCATTCAAGTTATTTTTAAAAATTCAGTAATACATCGCCATCACAACCAAAAAATCTAATTGCTTTAATTTATTTTCCTTGACGAAATAAATAATAAATTGAATTCGTAATAATCGGGTCGCATATAAATATTTCCCAACTGGAAAAGAACAGAACTATCATTCAACAAGAAAATAAATAAAACAGAATTGAAATTTAACTCAATATTGTCACATAACTGCCTTGACACTTAAGAGAATTAACATATCGACGGCCTACTGTCGAGAAAACATTATTTTCTTTCAAGATGAAGTTATCTCACAAATGGGTTTGAAATACAGAAAATTATTTTTCAAAAATTTAGAAATTTAATTTGATAGAATTTAATAATATTTGGTAGATATGTACAAAAATAATGCCTCTATTAATAACAATAAGAATTTTAAAAATTCATCATTATTTATGCAAAATAAATTGTTAATTAATTAATTAAACAATTAAAGTTTTAAGTGACGAAAAAAATCCAAAAATCTGTTTTCTATACTTTAATTTCCAACAAAAATTTATTACCTACCTTTAAAAATTGAGCAAATAACATAATTTTAAAGAGCGACGTGCAAACGCTTCACAGTGGTGAAAAAATGTGCTTTTTCGTTACAAATCACTCTACAGGTCACAATTCTTGAACGAAACGATTTTCCTTTTTTCTAAATCTTCGTAATTAAATTCTCTATTAATCTTTCCAGCCCGATTTTTCAATTTTTGTTTTTAAACATTTTTTAATAACAATAAGTATTAAAAAAATCAAAAATCGTAAAAAATATTTTTTTAGCTTCATGAATTATTAATTAAGAAAATTAATTGTACTTAGGGCTAGAAACTAGCTTTTTATCAACTGACATTTCTCATTCGAGTAAAACATCTAATGAAAAAAAATTAAAAATTAATTAAACATTGTTTGAACAATTAATTGTTGTTATTTTTTTCACACACTTTACTTAGGGCTAAGAATTTCTAAATATTTCTAAATACAATCAATTGAAAAATTAAATGCTATAAATTGTTTAAACAATGGTTAAATAATAAATTTGAAAAAAAACTAAGAAATTCTAGTTTTAAGTACAGTGAATTGAAGAATTAACAAAATAAATTCTTTAAAGAATGTTTAAATAATTAATTTGTTGTTTTTCTTTTATACTTGAATGTTTTAGTTACAAAAAAATGCACAATACAGAAAAAACTAGAAATGTCTAGCCCTAAGTACAGTTTATGACAAAAATAATAACAATTAATTGTTTAAACAATTTTTAAATAAATTATTTTTTATTTTTTATCATCAGTAGATATTTTACTTGTGAAAAATTGCACAATTAAGAAGAAACTAGCAATTTCTAGCTCTAACTATAATTTATAAAAAAATAACAACAATTAATTGTTCAAACAACGTTTAAGTAATTCATTTTTTTATCATTACTATAGATGTTTTACTTATTGTTTTCACAATTGAGGAAAAACTAGAAATTTCTAGCCCTAAGTATACTGTTTATGAAAAAAATAACAATTAATTGTTTAAACAATTTAATAAATTGTTATACTTTTTTTAATGCATCAGAAACACTCAAACATTATTTTAATAGGGTTTTTTGATTAATTTTCTTAATTCATGAAGCTAAAAAATTATTTTTTACGATTTTATAATTTTTTTAATACTTATTGCTATTAAAAAAATGTTTAAAAACAAAAATTGAAAAATCGGGCTCGAAAAATCGATAGAGAATTTAATTAAGAACATTTAGAAAAAAAGAAAAATCGTTTCGGTAAAAAATTGTGACCTGTAGAGTGATTTGAAACGAAAAAGTACATTTTTTTCGCCCCTGTGGAGCGCTTGCACGTCGCTCTTTAAAATTATGTCATTTACTCAATTTTTAAAGGTACTAAATTTTTTTTTTGAAATAAAAATGTAGAAAACATAGATTTTTGCAGTTTTTGAATTTTTTTCTTAAATATTTCAGAAGTCACTTAAATTGATGAATTTTTTTAATTCTTGTTGTTGTTAAGAGAGGCATTATTTTTGTATATCTCTACCAAATATTATTAAATTTCATCAGAAAACAACGAAGCAATAGTAAATTTTCTAAAAAGTTACTTTAAAGTTTAATTGTTTATATTGTTTATAACTAATTAAAAAATTTGAAAACGCATTTTGGGAATGTTTTTGTACCACCAGGCTATAACAAATTATGTATAGACATAATAATTTAAAAAGTTTCTTTTAGGTGGCCCACTTCACAAATTTTGACTCTTTAGGGAATTTTGCGTACGATATCTATGTAACAAAAAATCAATTTGAATCCAAGAGATCATTCAAAATCAAACCAAGCAAATTGGTTACATTTAAGACAAATCGGCGCTAAACTAAAATTAACACTTTTTTGAGTCTATTATATTTTCAAATCAATTTGTCGCGAGTACCTCAATAAACTGTCGTTCTCTTTATTTTTCAAGGTAGCCGCAAGTGTTAATACCTCTGTACTACTGTAGACTTCTGGCTTCTCGATTGAAATTTTGGCAATTTGTGGACCTGAGAATCTCTCATAAGCACGGGATCCTGTTAGTTCGGCTAGTTTCTAAAAAATCAATTTTATTATTGATTTATAATTATATAATAAATAACATCTAAATTCATTGCAATATTTAGATTTGAAAGTTTTAATTGAGGCTCCGGATCTTAAAAGAGCACTTTTACCATTTAAAATCAATGCTACGTGTGCCGTTTTAAAATCTGGAGCCTCAATTATTGTCTTAAAGATATTTTTGCATTTTTAAAAAATTAACTGCTTTCCGCAAAAACATTTATTATTTTTTCTAAATTCTAAAATGCCTTACTTCAGGGCTGCCTGCAGTTTCTTCAAATAAATTACATTCTTTGGTTGTACTAGAGTCCATCCATACAGGAGATAAAGTTAGAGAAAATGACATCGCTAACTGCTCATGAAGAAATTTTTCTGGATTTAAGTTTCTTAAACTGTTTCTTCCGCCTTTTGTCCAATAGACGGTTCCATGTTGCTGAAGAAACAAAAATTTTTCACTTCATGAAAATTTTCCTCTCTTATTATATAATATTAAGCAAAAACCGCTGCCAAGTTGTATATTTTTTTTATAATTTTGGTGCTCATTTCATGAACACTTTACTTCCTCATGGAGATAAAAATAATAGAAATATATGAATAACTTTTTATAAATATGGTAAAAGTGATTGAATTTTGGGTCAATCAATGTATTTTTAAATACCCCACAAGATAGTTACAATAATTTAATAGTTAAACAAAAATTTTCAAACAAAAAAGTTGAGAAAATGTCATTTTTCACAATTTTTGGTTTTTAAAATTCCAATAATTTCGAAATTTATTATCGAATTAGGTTTAAAAAAATAGGTCAATCGAAGCGTTTTTTAATGCTCTACAAGTTGATAACGATAACACAGGCACACAAAAAAAAAGTTTCGTGGCCGAGACACTACAGTAGTATATTCCCATGTATTTTTGGCCGCTGAATCCGAATCTGAAGTCCGAATGCTCAAATTGGTTCTTTTTTTTGAGTTATACTCAAAAAACGACTCAAAACACGAATTTGAACCAAAAAAATTAAAAATTTTTTTTGTGAGACATGACAATAGCATATTTCCATGTATTTTTTCCCGCTAAATCCGGATTCGAAGTCAGAATTGACAGATGTGCTCAAAATTTTGAGCTAAACTCAAAAAACGACTCAAAAAACCGAATTAAAATGACGAAAATGAAAAATTTTTTCTGTGACACTGCAAAAGTATATTCCTATGTATTTTTTCATGCTGAATCCGAATTCGCAGTCAGAATTGACAGATTTGTTCAAAATTTTGAGATAAGCTCAAAGAACTGATAAAAAAAGCGATTTAAAATAAAGAAATGGCAATTTTTTGCTATGACACTACATTACAGTATTTCCATATATTTTTACACTCGGATCTCGCATTTGAAGTCAGAATTATTCTAATGGCTCAAAATTTTGAGACACACAAGAAAATCTGTTAAGTTACAAAAATTAAAGTCAAGAAACTCTACTTTTCTTGCTAGTACACTACATTAGTATATTCTCATGTTTTTACATCTGCTTCTAAATTCAAAGTTAAAATTATTAAATTGGCTCAAAATTTTAAGTTAAATCCAAAAATGCTCAAAATTTAATATAATGCAAAAGAGTTTATTCTTTTGGTATTCGGTAGTGTATTCTCATGAATTTTATATACGCTGGATACAAATTCGAAGTTAGAATTATCAGAATGACATAAAATTTTTTAGAACTCAAACCCTGGTTACAGGTACAAGCATGCATGTTTTTGAGCACTTTTAATGAAATCCAAAATTTTGAGCCACTTTGAAAATTCTGACTTTGGAATCACAGTGAAAAAATACATGGGAATACATTAGTGTAGTGTCATAGCAAAAAATTTCCTTTATTCATATTAAATTACATTTTTATCAGTTTTTTGAGTATATCTCAAAATTTTGAGCAAATCAGTCATAAATCTGTCAATTCTGACTTTAAATGCGAGATCCGATATGGAAATACTGTAATGTAGTGTCATAGCAAAAAATTGCCATTTCTTTATTTTAAATCGCTTTTTTTATCAGTTCTTTGAGCTTATCTCAAAATTTTGAACAAATCTGTCAATTCTGACTGCGAATTCGGATTCAGCATGAAAAAATACATAGGAATATACTTTTGCAGTGTCACAGAAAAAATTTTTCATTTTCGTCATTTTAATTCGGTTTTTTGAGTCGTTTTTTGAGTTTAGCTCAAAATTTTGAGCACATCTGTCAATTCTGACTTCGAATCCGGATTTAGCGGGAAAAAATACATGGAAATATGCTATTGTCATGTCTCACAAAAAAAATTTTTAATTTTTTTGGTTCAAATTCGTGTTTTGAGTCGTTTTTTGAGTATAACTCAAAAAAAAGAACCAATTTGAGCATTCGGACTTCAGATTCGGATTCAGCGGCCAAAAATACATGGGAATATACTACTGTAGTGTCTCGGCCACGAAACTTTTTTTTTTGTGTGCCTGTGTAATTTTAAAGTTACTTCTACGTTTTTCAACAAAATTTAAAAAAAAGTCTTATTTTCCAAAATTTTTGATTTTTAAAAGTTTAATAACTTCGGTTAATATGGACGAAAAATGTTCAATTACGGCTCAAAAGATGCGTCTAAAAAAACTCTATAAAATTATGGAAAAACATTTATAGGTGTCCTAACATTTTTTTAAAGTTATGGGCAAAAAACGTTTTTTTGCAAAATTAAAAATAAAAAAAAAATTTAGTTAAACTTTATTAATATATCAGAAAGTACTCTCACTTTATGTCCGCAGGTGAGATCTACAGTTTAAAAAAAATTCAACCCAAAAGCTCTTCATGATTTCGAGATATTTATGAAAATGTGATGTTTACACACACACACACATACGGAATGACATTTTTTAAAAATGTCATTTTTGAACTCCTGAGGTCAAATAACAAAGATATGTCAAAAAATCGAACTCGAAAAATTTTGGTATTACAATACTTCCTCTATGAGGAAGTAAAAGTTTCAGGGTTGCCACCCTTTTCCTCATTTCAAATTCCCTGACTGTTCCAGGTTTTTCAGGTTAAAAAACGAAATTTTTCCAGGTTTTTAAAACTACATTTATATTTTACCAAGTTCGATTTTTTGACATATCTTTATGTTATTTGACCTGAGGAGTTCAAAAATGACATTTTTAAAAAATGTCATTCTGTATGTGTGTGTGGGTGTGTAAATATCACATTTTCATAAATATCTCGAAATCATGAAGAGCTTTTGAGTTGAATTTTTTTTAAATTGTAGATCTCACCTGCGGACATAAAGTGAGAGTACTTTCTGATATTTTAATAAAGTTTAACTAAATTTTTTTTCGATTTTTAATTTTGCAAAAAAACGTTTTTTGCCCATAACTTTAAAAAATGTTAGGACACCTATAAATGTTTTTCCATAATTTTGTAGAGTTTTTTAGACGCATCTTTTGAGCCGTAATTGAACATTTTTCGTCCATATTAACCGGAGTTATTAAACTTTTAAAAATCAAAAATTTTGGAAAATAAGACTTTTTTGAAAATTTTGTTGAAAAACGTAGAAGTAACTTTTAAATTATCGTTATCAACTTGTAGAGCATTAAAAAACGCTTCCATTGACCTATTTTTGAACCTAATTCGATAATAAATTTCTAAATTATTGGTATTTTAAAAACCAAAAATTGTGAAAAATGATTTTTTCTCAACTATATTGTTTGAAAATTTTTGTTTAACTATTAAATTATTGTAACTATCTTGTAGGGTACTATTTAAAAATACATTGATTGACTCAAAATTCAATCACTTTTACCATATTTATAAAAAGTTATTCATATATTTCTATTATTTTTATCTCCATGAGGAAGTAAAGTGTTCATGAAATGAGCACCAAAATTATAAAAAAATATGCAACTTGGCAGCGGTTTTTATTTTTAATTTTAGTTTAATTTTAATTTTTAATTTAATTTTTAATTTTACCAAACTCCCTGATTTCCAGGCAAAACGACTTTTTCCCTGTTCTATTATTAGATTTATTTACGAATTTCTTTAATTGTAAAATTATTCGAAAATATCAATAACTTCGTTTTTAAATAAATATTTAATCATTATTATTTTTTTACAAAAATTAAGATTTTAAAAAATTTTAAATTCAATAACATATATTAAGAATATTATTATAAAACAAGAAGATATCGACTACTCCGAGTCTTCGACTCGGAGTGATCGCTTTCTTCATGTTTTATAATTAGAACTTGATACTATCATTATTTTATACTATAAAAATATTATTACTGTAATTTCTTCAAAATTATTTTCATTTCAATTCAATTATTCATTTCTAAAATTTTTAACTAAAATTTTTCTTTAAATCAATTATTTTTAATAATTTTTGAAAAAGTTCTTCTTTGGGAATTTTTAAATCCATTTGTTTACAATTCAATTTTACCTAAAATTATTCGATTCTGACATTCTTCAATGAAAAAAATTATTAGAAATTAAAAACTTCAAATAATTAAAAAAAAATTCCATTAAACTCTTTGAGAAAAATTAATACTAAATTTCCTTAAAAATCTTATCATGAATTTAATTATTTTTAAAGATAATACAATTATTCGCAGGAATTCAATTATTCTCAAAATAATTTGAATAACATTCTTCAAAATAATTCAATTATTTTTAAAATTCACAAAATTCTTCGCAAGAATTCAATTATTTTCAAAAATGATAAAATTCTTCGTAAATATTCAAATATTTTCAATATTAATTTTTACGTAATTTTGATTATTCTGACATTCTTCAATTAGAAATATATTAGAAAATAAAAACTTGAAGAATTAAAGAAAAATTCAATTAAACTTTTTTAAAAAAGATTAATTCTACAGAACTGTTAATTAAAAGTATGAAATGTTCAAATTTTCCAAGATTTTATTTTGAAACCTTTTCAATATTCAATAATAATCTAAAATTTTAACTGAAATTCATTTTTAAATCAATATTTACTATAAAAAAAATCCATGAGAATTCAATTATCTAAATACAAAAATAAATATTTTTAAATAATTGAATGTTTCTTGAAATTGAATTTTCATAAAGAATTTTATAAACAAATTTTTAAATAATTGAATTCTCTTGACAAATTTTAAAAAAAATTTTAAGAATATAAGTTCATTTTTCGGAAATTTGATTAAAATTTTAATTAAAAATAATTTAATTTCTCCAAAGAATTTTATAAGCGTTTTTTAAAAATAATTGAAATTTTGCAAAAAATTTTATTAATATTTTAGAAAATAATTAAATTTTGGAGACAAATTTATAAAGATTATTGAAATTTTGACGAGAATTTTTGTAAATTGTTGAACACAATTAAATTTCTGCAAAGAATTATAATAATTTTTGAAAATAATTGAATTCTTGAGACGAAATTTATTAAAAATGTCTTTTTAAATAATTGAATTCTTTTATGAAATTTTATTGAACTAGAAGACATTAAAAATAATTTAATTTTGACAAATTTTTGAAATTATTAAAATTTCTACGAAGAATTTTATTACAATTATTTTGAAAAAAAATTGAATTATTACAAAGAATTTCATTAAAATTTTTGAAAATAATTTAATTTTTTGAATAAAAATTAAAAAACTTTATAGAAAATAATACTTAAATACTAGTAAATAAATTGTAGCAAAGGTTTTTAAAATAATTGAATTTCTTTGAGGAATTTTAATAAAACTTTTAAGAATAATTTCATTTTTCGAGGAATTCCATTAAAATTATGTTATTAAAAATAATTGAAAGTCTGGGATAAGTTTTATTAATTATGAAAATAATGAAATGTTAGCGTAAAATTTTATTAAAATTTTTTTTAAATAATTAAATTCTTTTGGAAAATTTTATTAAAGTAGCAGATTTATTAAAAATCGTTTGAATTGATAAAAGTTTTTGAAAATAATTGAAATTTTGCCATGAATTTTATTAAAATTTTTGGAAATAATTGAATTTCTTAGAAGAATTTTACTACTTTTGAAATAAATATTTGAAATTCTGCAATCATTTGTAATTGCTTCAAAATTCAATTTCTTTTAGTGTTTTTAATTAAAATTCTTCTATAAATACATTATTTTTAATAATCAATTAAAAATATGTATATATTTAAAAATTTAACTATAATTTCAGAAGAATTGGAATAATTAAAATTTCTCAAAAGTCTACGTTCTTTAAGACGATTTCTAATTAAATTCATTGAAAATTGAAATTTTACAAAATTTCAAATTAAAATCTTTTGAAATTCATCTGTACTTATAAAAATTGTAAACGCAACTTTTTTAAAATTTAATAAATTTTGAAGCATTGGTTCTTCAATCTGGTCCTGTATTATGTTGAAAAAAAGGTCTGCTCGAATAAACTGAGCAGGACACGACACGAGTTTTTTGCTTAAATAAATTTTTTTATTGAAGTACCTATAACCATGAAAAAATAAAAATATTCTGCATTCAAGTGTAATACTTTTGTTTTGAGAGAATATTAGAAGAGGATTTTTTTCTAAATATGAGATCACCTTTTTCTGGGTTTTTTATAAGTAAGAAGTGTCATTTGAATGAAAAGTTACCTGAGCACAGCCAGATATTGCTGCTACTTTACTAAAATCTACACCGCAAACACGGAGTTTGTCGAGAATCATATCTAATGCTTTTACCCACATTAGAGTAGGAGCCGTCACTACGTTAGGTCTTTCTTTTCTTTGGAGTACACCTCCATATGTTCTAATTAACAAAATTTTTTTTTAATTTTAAAATAAATTCTTATAAATTAACTTAACAATTTATAATATACCTGAATTCCGGTAAGTCATTGTCAAATTGAACATTTGTTTCGCATAAAACTTGAAGATCTCCATTGACAACTATTGCCTTCAACTGAAATATATAAATTTTACAATTATTAAAATAATAGGAATGACAAATTTCATAGGAAATATTATATTGTCTTTAGTGTTTAGATACTTAACAGTAAGACAAAAGAATGTAATTATGACAGAAATTGTATGATGTCATAAACAAATAGAAAATATATTTTTTCTTTTTTAAAAGTAACATTTCTATTCTGCCCACCTTATCGGGCCTCAAAAGAAAGCTTATAATTAAAATATAGACAGCTAATTCTCGTCGAGGCAAAATAGCACATATATAGAAACCAAAGTATGTTTATTTATATAGAAAGAAATTCCAAAACAAGTATTCTACTTTTTATTTAATAATTTGCTAATAAACTATTTGTTATCAGGGTTGCCACGCTTTTGCTCATTTCAAATTCCCTGACTTTTCCAGGTTTTCCAGGTTAAAAAACGGATCGATATCTTCATGTTTTATAATAATTAAAAATGTTGGACTGATAAAATCATCATTTTATACCTATTATTATTATAAGAATATTGTTACTGTAACTTATTCAAAATTACTTTCATTATTTTAATTCAATTATTGTTTTCCACAATTATTTTTAATTAAAATTCTTCTTTATAAAGTGTAAATTAATTATTATTAATAATTTCTGAAAAATTTTTTTCAACATTTTCAAATCCTTTTGTTTACAATTCAATTTTACAAAATTTCATCGATTATTCAGGTATTCGGAAATTCTTCAATCAAATATATATTAGAAAATAAAAACTTTAAATAACTTCAAAAAAATTCAATTCAACTTTTACAAAAGAATTAAATCTACACAATTTTAAGTTAAAAGTATGAAAAATTCAAACATTCAAAGATTATAATTTGAGACCTGCTTTTCAAAACTCAATTATTATCTAAAGTTTTAACTGAAATTCATATTTGAATCAATTATTATTAGAAAATTCTACGACAATTCAATTATTTAAATACAAAAAAAAATAATTTATTGAAGAATTCAATGATTTTTTAAATTCAACTCTCATTTAAAGAATTTTACCAACAGATTTTTAAATAGGTAATTAAAATTCTTTTGACGAATTTCAATAAAATTTTTAAGAATAATTACATTTTTCGAGGAATTAGATTAAAAATGTATTAAAAATAATTGAATCTCTGTAAAAAAAATTTCATTGAATTGAGAAAAGTTTTTGAAAATAATTGAAATTTTGGCAAGAATTTTATTATAATTTTTTTAAATAATTGAAATATTGCCAAGAATTTTATTAAAATTTTTGAAAATAATTGAATTTTAGAGAAAAATTTTTATATTTATAAAAATAATTGAAATTTTGACTATAACTTTTTTTTAAACTCTTGACCATAATTGAATTTCTGCTAAAAATTTTATTACTTTTGAAAATAATTGAATTCTTGAGACGAATTTTTTAATAATATATCTAATTATTTTCTAAACTTCTAACTATTTTCTAATTATTTCTAATTATTTTTTATGCAAAGATAAATAATTTATTGAATAATTGAATGTTTCTCAAAGATTAATTCTCATAAAGAATTTTATTAACAAATTTTTAAATAATTGAATTCTTTTGACGAATTTTAATAAAATTTTAAATATAAATACATTTTTCAAAGAATTCGATTTAAATTGTATCAAAAATAATTGAAATTCTGCAATGAGTTTTATTATCTATGAATATAATAATTGAATCCCTGTAAAAAATCGTATTACATATTTATAAAAATAATTGAATCTTTGTAAACATAAATTGAATATTTTTGAAAATAATATATTTATTGCGAAGAAATTTATAAAAAATGTTTAAAATAATTCATTTCTTTTGGAAAATTTTATTAAAATAGTAGATATTAAAAATCATTGACTGGAGGAGAATTTTTGAAAAAAAATTGAATTTTCTAAAAAGAATTTCATTAAAATTTTTGAAAATTATTGAATTTTGAAGAAAAATTTTAATATTCATAAAGATAATTGAAATTTTGACGATACATTTTTTTTAATCTTTTGCCCATAATTGAATTTCTGCGAAGAATTTTATTACTTTTGAAAATAATTGAATTTCTTTGATGAATTTTAATAAAATTTTTAAGAACAATTATACATTTTTCGAGAAATTCCATTAACCCCTTGGCTGTCAACGAGATTTCCACTGTCTGGCCCAAAAGTGTGTTGAAAAAATTTTTAATGGATTTTTATGAAACTTTGTACCCTAAGGTTTCTGGGGTCGCTGATTACGAATCTGACATCAGTTTTTCGAAATTCAAAATGGCGGATCCAAGATGGCGGAAATTTTTTCAAAATTCGTCAAATTTGCTTGAAACTTGTTACTCGGGGGTTTTAAGGGTCACTGATTACGAATCTAACATTAGTTTTCCAAAATTCAAAATGGCGGATCCAATATGGCGGACAACGAAATAAAAAATTGATCAGATTAGCTTGAAATTAAATACTTGGGGATTTTCAGGGTCGCTGATTACGAATCTGAAATCAGTTTTTCAAAATTCAAAATATCTGGTTCAATATGACGAAATTTTTTTTAAAATTTATTGAATTTGTTTGAAACTGGTTAATCTGACATCAGTATTATAATTTTTGGTGAAATCAAATTTCGATAAATACCCTGAAAAACTAATGTCAGATTCGTAATCAGCGACCCTAAAAACCCCCGAGTATTCAGTTTCAAGCCAATCTGATCAATTTTTTATTTCGTTGTCCGCCATATTGGATCCGCCATTTTGAATTTTGGAAAACGAATATCATATTCGTAATCAGCGACCTCGAAAACCCCCGAGTAACCGGTTTCAGGAACATTCAAGAAGTTTTTAATCACTTTTTTTAAGTTGCGCATATATGCGTCATGAACCACTTTTGGCCAGTTTAGTTTTGCGCATATATGCGTCAGCGACAGTCAACGGGTTAAAATTGTATTAAAAATAATTGAAATTTTGCGATGAGTTTTATTATTTATGAAAATAATTGTAAATCTATAAATTTTTTGATTATTTATGAAAATAATTGAATTATTGCGAAGAAATATTGTAAAGGCAACTCTTTTAAAATTGAATTAAAGAAAAAATAGATTTCAAGAATAAGAACAATAACTTTAGAAAACAATAATTTTCCAGGATGCCAATCAAAATTCCCTGACTTCTCCAGGTTTTTTCAAGGTTTATAAAAATTCCCTGACATTTCCAGGTTTTCCAGGTTTCCAGGTTGCGTGGCAACTCTGGTTATGGAATTTAAGAAAAAACCATAAGAATGTAATTATTTTATAATTATAATATATTATATAATTATATTTATGATATGTATACTAAATATAATATATAACATATTAAGTAATTTTTTTTGCATTTTATGGTAGTTTTTAAAATTACATAAAATAAAGCTAATATCAATAAATGATTATAAATAAACAGTGGGCTTGAAATTGAAAAGTTTTATGAAACTTTTTTCAAGAAATGCTTGACTATTTTACTGATTTAAATAATTTTTGGCAATTTTATAGAAAATTTATGAAAAAGTTATATTTTCCTATATGTAATTAATTTGTAAATTTGATGAAATTTTAGCAACCTTTAAATATTAACCCATTTAAAAATTCTGTTTTATTAATTTGGTAGAAATTTGGGAGATCAGAGCATAACATTTAAGAATAACATTTTGTTTTCCTTTAAACCAACATAATTTGTTTATTATAAATTATATCTAAACAGAAAACGAATATAATTTTTCATATAGCATTTCTGATATTCGTTTTATCATTAAAAGAGATAAAGAGTGACCCGGGTCATTATTATAACTATAACTACGTCATATTTATGAATTCAAGTTCATATACTTGGCACAGACTCTTGAGTTTTTTTAAAATTTTTGTAGAAAGAATTGTTTTATGTTTGGTTCTTGCATCAAGACATTCAATATTGTTGCAGAATTTTTATTCCTAAGAATAGTAATGTGACAAAAATAAAATATTAATGAAATAATGGATGTTTATCAAACACTATAATATCACACTAAAATTATAAATCCAAACAAAATAACATCACAATAAAAATTAAATATGATTGAATTTTGATTGTTGCGAAAAGTTTTTTGGTAGAATTTAAATTAAACAGAACAGAAATTTTAAAAGATTATTAATTTATCAGGAAGAAAACTAGAGAGAATTCAAATTTAGTAGAATATTGATTTCTCCGAATTATAATTTGTCAGAAAAAAAAATTTCGATGGGTTTTCATTTCTATTTTTCCTTATTTAAATTTTAAAAAAAATTCCAAGCTCAAAAATAATATTACAGTGATATTAAGTTAAAAGTACATGCTATTTAGAAAGCCACTTTTGCAAAAGAAAATTTTTAAAATATATATATTAGGGTGTCCGTTATTAGCTATTTGTGTCCCAAGTTAGCTATTTTCATTTGGGTATCGTCAAAATCGTTTCTTTCAGACCTAAAAACAGTTCTAGAAACTAGAAAAAAATTTTACGATGCCGTTTAACCCTGCCTAAATAACAATACTTTTCCCATTTAATTAACATGGGATTTTTGCACTTTTTCGAAAATAATTTTTATTTCGTTTATAATACTCTTTGACTAACCAACAATGCTTGATTTTGCTTCTATTATGATTCCTTTAAATAGAGAAATTTTCATAATATCGCGAAAAATTTATTACACAAGTTTTAAAAAGGTCAATTTCATTTTTATTGATTTATCTGATTATTTTGCTAAATCTACTTATTAATTAATTTTTATTTGGTATTTCATTGAAAGTTTCTTGTTTTATGCATCCAATTGGACCATAACAATAATTTCAATTCAAAAATTATCAAAGAATCACACAGTAGACTAAATCCATTTCAAATCAGGCAGGTCGACTAACTTCATGTTATAGAAAAAAAATTGTTTTGCTTGTCATTTTTTTTCTTTTGAGTATAATTATATTTTCTTTCTTGGGTCTTGTAGATGGTCTTGTCCTCTTATCACAATCCAGTTTGAAATTTGAAAAAATACTTAAAATGATAAAAATAGGGGATGATTTTCTGAAAATAAATAAGATCAATTTTCTCAAAAACACCACCTTTTTTGTTATCAAATTTTTACTACAAATTCTTAAAATAATTATTAACATTTCCTATGAATTTCAAGCGGGCTAAATCATTCTTTCAATCAAGAGAATTTTTTTAAATATTTATTTTTGCAAAATTTCAAATTGTTAACTTGCATTTTTAAAAACAAATGAATTGTTATAACATTGCTGACGTAAACTTTAACAATTTGAAAATTTGTAAAAATAAATTTTTCAAAAAAAAATTCTCCTGATTGACAGAATGGTAAAGCCCGCTTGAAAATTAATTCAATTCATAATTATTTTAAGAATTTGTAGTAAAAATTTGATAACAAAAAAGGTGGTGTTTTTGAGAAAATTGATCTTATTTATTTTCAGAAAATCATCCCCTATTTTTATCATTTTAAGAATTTTTTCAAATTTCAAACTGGATTGTGATAAGAGGACAAGACCATCTACAAGACCCAAGAAAGAAAATATAATTATACTCAAAAGAAAAAAAATGACAAGCAAAACAATTTTTTTTCTATAACATGAAGTTAGTCGACCTGCCTGATTTGAAATGGATTTAGTCTACTGTGTGATTCTTGTATAGTTTTTGAATTGAAATTATTGTTATGGTCCAATTGGATGCATAAAACAAGAAACTTTCAATGAAATACCGAATAAAAATTAATTAATAAGTAGATTTAGCAAAATAATCAGAAAAATCAATAAAAATGAAATTGACCTTTTTAAAACTTGTGTAATAAATTTTTTGCGATAATATGAAAATTTCTCTATTTAAAGGAATCATAATAGAAGCAAAATCAAGCATTGTTGGTTAGTCAAAGAATATTATAAACGAAATAAAAATTATTTTCTAAAAAGTGCAAAAATCTTATGTTAATTAAATGGGAAAAGTATTGTTATTTAGGCACGGTTAAACGGCATCGTAAACATTTTTTCTAGTTTCTAGAATTGTTTTTAGGTAAAAAAGAAACGATTTTGACGATACCCAAATTAAAATAGCTAACTTGGGAAATAACGGACACCCTAATATATATCTTTCCTCCAAAAAAAAACATAATTATACAATTTTTAACTTTTTTTTAAATAGTTGAGATTTTATTTAAAAAATTGTTATTGAGAAATACCTAGTCCAAGTTTATTGCTTTTTTAAAAAAACAGTATTTTATAAAAAAAGTGTGATTATCAAATAAAAATTATGCAATTCTTTTACCAATTTCTAGAACAAATTTACTATTTCGTTAAAAAATTTAATTAAAAAATAAATTATGGAAAATTTATTACAAAAGAAAATAAAAATTTTGTAAAAAAATTTGATTCCTGAATTAATTATTTTCTACAATTTTCAACTAAAATTCAACTCTAAATCAATTATTTTAAATAATTTTCCGAAAATTCTTCTAAAATTCAATTATTTAAATATAAAATCTCAATTTTTTATAATAATTGTAACTGTCCATGCTTTTTTCGTTATAAATAACAGAAGGCTCGAAACAGTGATAGTATTTAAAAATACGGACTTTACAGGACAATATTTAATTTTTGCAAAGAATATTATTACTCTTGAATATAGATTGAATTTCTGAAATAATTTGTAGCTTTTCCAAAATTAATTTTTTTTCGTGTTTTTATCAAAATTCTTCTATAAACGCATTATTTTTAATAATTTTTGACAAAGTTCTTTATGAGAATTTTCAAATTCATTTGTTTACAATTCAATTTTACAAAATTTTAATTATTCGTAAATTTTTTTAATAAAAAAAAAAACTTCATACAATTTAGAAAAAACCGCAATTAAACTTCCTCAAAAAAATTAATAATATAAAAAATTCAGATTTTCAAAGATTTTAATTTGAAACCTTTTCAAAATTCAATTATTTCTAAAAATTCACGCTCTATAATGCTTTTAATATTCAATTATATTTGAAAATTTTAACACTGTAATCCATTTTTAAATAAATTGTTATTAGAAAATTCTACTAGATTTGAACTATTTAAATACAAAAAATTTTTTTTTGAATACTTGAATATTTCTTAAAATTGAATTTTCATAAACAATTTTACCAATAAATTTTTAAATCATTGAATTCTTTTCAAGAATTTTAATAAATTATTTAAGAATAATTACATTTTTCAAGGAATACAATTAAAGTTGTATTAAAAACAACTGAATTCCTGAAAAGAATTTTATTATTTACGAAAATAATTGAGTCCCTGTAAAATTTTTATTATTTATGATAATAATTGAATGATTGCAAAGAAATTTATAAAAAATTTGTAAATAAATAAATTCCTGTGAAATTTTTATTATTTTATGAAAATAATTAAAGTTTTACGTAGATTTTATTAAATTTTTTTTAAATAATTGAATTCTTTTAGAAAATTTTATTAAAATAGTAGATATTGAAAATCATTGGAATTAGGAAAATTTTTGAAAATAATTGAAATTTTGCCAAGAATTTAAAAAAAATTTTTGAACATACATACTTTTGAAAATAAATTAATTTCTGCAATCATTCGTAATTTCTCTGAAATTTTCCAAATTATATCGTACAATTTACGAACTTTTCGTTATTTCTCAATCAATTAATAATTCCAAAAAAGTAAATTTTTATTTATTTTTTTCCAAGATAATTGAATTTTCAAAAATTATGATAAAATAATTCTAAGAATTAGTTTTTAAAAATAATTTAATGTAATTTTTCGAAAAAAATTGAATTTCTTAAAAAAATTCTTGTATTAAAAAAAACTAATTAACTTTTTGATGAATTTTAATTAAAAAATTTGAACATGACTTTTTTCCCCAAAATGTTAAAAATAATTCTAAAATGTTATTATTTTTTGTATGTATTTGAATTGTCGGAAATATGTAGGTAATTGGAAATACTGAAAATATTGAATTTAAAAAAATTAATTAGAAGCTGATTTTCGCATTTAATTTTATTTTTAAATTTACGTTTGAAGATTTTTCATTAATATTTTTTATAATTCAATTATTTTCAAAATTTCTAATTAAATTTCTTCAAAAGTTGAATTTCAAAAATTGTAACACCTGGAAAAATTAATTATTTTTAATTAAATTTTTGAAAATTTGAATTACCATAATTACAAAAGTATTTTTATTATAAAAGAATATATTATAAAATAAATAATTAAAAACAATAGATTTTTTAGATGAATAAACATTTTTTCAATTATTTAAAAAATAAAAAGTTCGAATTTCTTTTGAAATAAGTATACTTATAGACAAGAATATAAATATATAATTTTAGATAATTAACAATTGAAGTTCAAAAAGTAAGTTTATAGAATTGCAAAACCATGAATTTTATTGTTGAGTTTGAAAATTTTAAAATAGGTGTAAATTACGAAAAATTCAACTTCTATATTCAACATAATTAGGTATATTACGGGACAGTGGAATAAGAATGACGGCTGCACTGTACCTATCATCAACAGAAACGTCAAATGTGTCGAATTGACTCTACGGTAGAATTGAAATATGGGGGCATATTCTATATTTCCTGTTTCTTAATAATTTAATCATTTAAAAAGTCAGTTAGGTAATTTCACTTTTTAACATTACTACTGTGACTTTCTTATTAATCTGTTCTGTATAATACTGAAAGCTATATTATTGAAACGTCAATAAAAAGATCTCACATGAAAAGGCCACGAACAAATTAATAACAAACCATTAACGCTTTCATTTATAACTCTGCGAAACGATTTAAAAGAAGAAAAGCGAGGAAATGATTAATAGAAAATATAAAAAATGGAAATATAGAGAAAAAGCAAAAAAGAATTTGTGTTTTATTTAAAAACGTACCTGCTGAGTACTGAGATCTAAACCTAAGTATGTTGTGTTGTGTGATTCATCCATACTGTGTAGGACGTAGGAATGTACAGGTACTGGATATATAGTTACTACGTTACTACGGTTATAGAACTGAAAACGTGAAACCGGTTTCTAAACGGAGGAACGACGTGGAATAATTCTAACTCTTCCTTGCAAGCAATAACAACACTTGTCAACATTGGTGGGTGGCTGGCTGTGTGTGAGTGACTGATAGCGCAGTAATTCTGCACTTAGATAGGGAAGAATAGTTTATATTTACTATTGTATTATATGGGCATATCTCTAGCTTTAACTTTTCAACAAGGAAAAAATTGATTATTTTTTTAGCACAGTATTGAAACTCTGTCTACATAAACTTTAAGTAAGCTTTCAAATTATGCAAGAGTGGAGAGATAAAACGAAACGACATTAAAGTTATTTATAAATTTCTTTCAAATTTTTCGAAAACATCAATAATTTCTTTTTTAAATAAATATATAATTATTATTTTTCCATAGGAATTAAAATTTTTCAAAAGATTCAAATTCAAACCTATTTGAAATTAAACAACTTATAACAAATTGTTATAAAACATGAAGAAATCGATCACTCCGAGTCTTCGACTCGGAGCAATCGATGTCTTCATGTTTTATAATAATTAAAGATGACCGAGTGATAAAATCATTATATTTTATATTATAAGACTTTATAAAAAAATTTTTTTAAGTAAGTTAGTATTATTAGTAAGTAATTAAAATTTTGCAGAAGAATTTTGATATTTACTTAATTGGAATTTTGAGGAGAATTTAAAAAAAATTAGAAAATAATTAAATTTCTGCCAAGAATTTTCTTACATTTTTAAGATAATTATCGTTACCCATTTATGATCCACTTTAGATCGCGGGATCTCATGTTGTAAATAAATAAATAAATAATTGAATTTTGCAAAGAATTTTAACAGAACTTTTGAAAATAATTAAATTTCCAGGATGAATTTTATTATTTATGAAAATAATTAAAATTTTGACGAGAAATTTAAAAAAAAATTAAAAACAATTGAATTTCTAGGATGAATTTTATTATTTATAATGATAATTGAATTTCTAGAATGAATTTTATTATTTATAAAGATAATTTAACTTTTGATAAGAATTTTATTCAAAATTTTTGCAAATAATTGAATTTCAGAGAAGAATTTTATTACTCTCAAAGATAATTGAAAATTTGAACAGATTGTTTTAAGAATGTTTAAAAGTAATTGAATTTTGATATTTATAAAAATAATTGAAATTTTGAAAATAATTTAATTTCTGCCAAGAATTTTATTACTTTTGAAAATAATTGGATTTCTAGGATGAATTTTATTAAAATTCTTTGCAAATAATTGAATTTCAGAGAAGAATTTTATTATTCACAAAGATAATTAAAATTTTGAACAGATTTTTTTTAAAATGTTTAAAAGAAATTGAATTTTGTAGAAGAATTTTGATATTTATAAACATAATTGAAATTTTGAGAAGAATTTAAAAAAAAAATTTTGAAAATAATTGAATTTCTGTAAAGAATTTTCTTACTTTTTAAGATAATTGAATTTTGCAAAGAATTTTATCAGAACTTTTGAAAATAATCAAATTTTTATGATGAATTTTATTATTTATAAAATTTTGAATATAATTGAATTTCTGCGAAGAATTTTGTTACTTTTGAAAATAATTGAATTTAAGAGAAGAATTTTATTAAAACTTTTTTTAAAAAATTCAATTTCGTAGAAGAATTTTATTATTTATAAAAATAATTGACATTTTAAAGAGAATTTTTAAAAAAATGTTTATAATACATAATTAAAATTTTGCTATGAATTTTATTAAATTTTTTAAAATTTTATTCCGGATTGTTTGATATTAATGTATCTGTTGTCGAGAAATGTGATTTTTTTACAATTTTGACAATTTTGTGTTTTCTTTTTGTCGTTTTTTAGGGTTCCGTACACCTACGGTGTATCGGCGGAACCCTATTGGTGAGACTCTGTTGTCCGTAGCCAAATCGTGTCCCCCCCCCTAGCGGCTAAACTATTTGACCTAAAGAGCTCAAATTTGGTCCAGATATGTATTTTCACTCGTAGATTACAGGAAAAATATAGCGAATGTGATTGGACGTGATGGGCATAGCGTTGTCAAGGAAATAACAAGATTTTTGGCCAAAAATGCATAAAAAGTGACCATTCCTCCCCCCTTAACTTCTAAACTATTCGACATGGAGAGCTGAAATTTTGCATGCTGGTGTATTTTTACTCGAATATTACAGGAAAAATATAGAGAACTTGATATGTAATGATGGCCATAGCGTTGTCAAGGAAAAACTAAAAAAATTAAAAAAAAAAAATTTTTTTTCTCTAACTTTTACATTATTTGACCTAATGAGCTGAAAATTGGTATCCTAGTGTATTATTACAGTCTGACGACAAAAAATTTATTTAAGAAACTTTTTGAAAAAAAAATCAAAAAAAATTTTTTTTTAATTTTTTTTTCAAAAAAAAAAATTTTTTTAAATTTTTTTTAGTTTAAACACGTGGCATTAAATATTTTAAGGAAGAGTGAAATTTTAAGAGAATAAATGAGAGATTATTTTCTGACTTTAATTTCTTAACTAAAAATAAAAAAAAATTAGACAAGTGCGAGTTGTACTCGCACTGCAATGGCGGGTTCCGTACACAAATATTAAAACAATACTTGCAACATTTATCGGTAATTAGTGGAATTGAAATAAACAATTAAAAAAGTATATTAAAATCATTTGATAAGAAGAAATAACTAAAAAAAATTAAAGTATTGTATATCTAATATTGTAAACAATAATAAGCAGAGGAACAAAATTTTCAAAATTATAGTTTCTCTGCTTATTATTGTTTACAATATTAGATATATACAATACTTTAATTTTTTTAGTTATTCTTTTTTATCAAATGATTTTAATATATTTTTTTAATTGTTTATTTTAATTCCACTAATTACCGATAAATGTTGCAAGTATTGTTTTAATATTTGTGTACGGAACCCGCCATTGCAGTGCGAGTACAACTCGCACTTGTCCAATTTTTTGATTTTTCTAAGATTTCATGCGACTTTTTCGGAAAACTTTTATGCGATTTTTCGTGACTTTTGTTGTAAATTTATGCGACTAAAGCGACTTTTTTTAAGTCTTAAAGACGATCTGAGCCTTGCGGTTGTCACAGGTCAGGGAAATCAGGGAATTCAGGGAAAAGTCAGGGATTTTTATTAAAAGTACTGGAAAAAATTCAATTTTTAGAATTTATATAAGAAAATTCTATGCAATTTATAATACAAAACCTTCAATTTTTTCTATTTCTGACAATAATTTATTTTTAAATAACTTAATTCTTCAAGAACTATCATAAAATTATTACTTAGAAATTATTTCAATTATTTTTAATATTATACTATTTTAATAACATTTTCCAAAAGAATTCAATTACCTATTTAAACAAAATTTTCATAAGGACTTCACAGGAATTCAATTACTTATCAATTTTTTAAATAAATTTCTTTGAAATCAATTATTTTCATAAATAATAAAATTTTTCTCGAGAATTCAATTATTTTAAAAAGTTTTGATAAAATGCTTTCTATAAATTTCAAAAATTATAATAAAATTGCCCATACAATTATTTTCGTGAAATATAGCATTCTTCCTGGGAATACAATTTTATTATTGTCAAAATTGTTTGTAAAAATCTTCGAAACAATTCAATTATTTTCGTAAAAAATAAAAATTCTTTTATGCAATTCAATTAGTTAAGAAATTTTAATAAAATTCTTCCCAAGAATTCAATTCTTTTCAAAAATAAATATTTTTACAGGAATTCAATTATTTAAATATAAAAATGTAATAAAATTCTTCGTCAGATTTCAATTATTTTCAATTTTTTAATGAAATTTCTCGATGGAATTTAATTTTTTTGAAATTTTATTTACGTCTTCCAAAAATCGAAAAAATTAATTTATTTTTTTGAAAAAGTTTTAAAAAAATTCTGAGAAATTCAAATATTATTTAAAAACATTTAAATAAAATTCTTCACAAGAAATTAATTATTTTCATAAATAATAATATTTTTCTCCGGAATTCAATTCTTTAAAAATTTTTTAAATAAAATTCGTTGCAAGAATTCAATTATTTTTATAAATAACAAAAAAAATATCCTATAAATAAAATAATAAAAAAAATGTAATAAAATCTACGTAAAACTAATTATTTTCATAAAATAATAAAAATTTCACAGGAGTTCAATTATTTACAAATTATTTATAGATTTCTTCGCAATCATTCAATTATTTTTATAAATAATAACATTTTTATACAGAGATTCAATTATTTTCGTAAATAATAAAATTCTCTTTAGAAAATCAATTATTTTCAAGAATAATAAAACTCATAACATAATTTCAATTATTTTTAATACTATTTAGTAGTTAAGCTATGAGAGCACGGGCCCAGTTACCGACGGTAGGTAAGGTAGATTTTCTTAACAGCTCACTTTCAAGTGGGTTAGAAAGGGTGTTCTACTTTGCCGACAGATTTTTAGTACCGACTGCCACCGCTCAATTCAAACCCCCCTCTACTGTACCGACTACTGGGTTCAGGCTGCTACTGCTAGATGGCGCCACGGTTTAATTCTAAAATATTAAAATTTTTATTTCTTAATTTTAAATTGCTTGGTATTTTTAAATTTCCCGCTAAAATTACCGACCGAGTTTAATTAGAGGTTGCCTTCGATAGGGGGGCGTCCATAAATCACGTGACTCAAAATGGGGGGTGGGGGGTTAGGAAAATTATCACGGTTGATCACATGGGGGGTAGGGGGCTTCGCACATGATCACGTGATATGAATTAACTCTAACTTTTCAATGAAAGCTTAATTTGAGATTTGACCGATTTTTTATATTCAGCACCTCAATGCACGGAGAGAAATCTGCTGCTAATATTACTCGAGAGAGCGCATTACTTAAATTGCTTAACGTTTCTCTTATATTTTTAGCATGGATTCATATACTTATTGTAAAAATACTTTCAATGCAATAAGCATAAGGGGCCGTACACATAATACGTCACGCGGCTAGGGGGAGGGAGGGGGTCTGAGAATTGTGACTAAGTGTGACATAGGGGAGGGGGGGGGGAACTCATGTGTTACGTCACAATCTTTTAAATT